ATGTGCCCAGAAGGGTTCCTTTAAGGCGTCCTTTCAAAGGTTCTATAAGGGTTCTATAGTCCATGGCCCATGTAGTATCTACTTAGGCCTTAAAGTAACTCTATAGGGACCCCTTTAAGGCTAAAAAGGTGCATGGAACCTTTGGGAAAGTTCCTAGATCTTCCAGTAGACCTTAGCTAAAGAAGCGGCGTTTGGGGTTTAAGATTTGGGGTCTTAGGTTTTGGATATTTCAGGTCTAATGTTGAGGGTTTTCGGGCTTAGGGTGAATATCACCTCCTTAAACTATGAGCCCAAGTTTTAAACCCCCTAAACCCTAAGTTATCATCGAAGGAATACTCCTTACACCCTTTGCTTAAGGTACATTGGAAGATCAGGGATCTTGAGGGGCTGCCTTGGCGGGGGATTTCAAGAATCCCTCTGGTTCAGCGGTTCACCACCGCTTTATGAGGGTGCTACAGGTTTTTTGATATGGGCTACTGATGTGTAAAAGTACCGTGCTACTAGCGATCAAACCCTACACCTGAACCCTAAACCCCCAAACCCTAAACCCTAACCCTAAACCCTAAACCCTAAACCCTAAACCCTAAACTCCTAAGCGCTCAGAAAACAGTAGCCAGCCATAGTCCGGTCCCTTTCTTGGAACTGACGTAAAGGTTCCGGCAGGATTTATGGTGAGTTCAAGAATCAGACTGCTCAGTGCTTTTCTCATCTGCTTGTTACTATGGAGGCTTGAATAATTACCAATGGTGTTCCTTAGGTTCCTTGGGGCCCCTGCTCATAACTAATGATATTATGATATACCCCCAAATCCGACTTACGTATGTCTGTGCATACTAGTTCTCTCTTGTTGTGACCATTATGGTCTGCATGGGTCCCCCGCCTGCTGACCCCTCAAGTACCGTTTCAAGGAGAGTTCCGCACAGTTGAAAGTCGTTCCGAAGCAGGGTCTGTGCAGGGCGTGCTGCGCCAGACCCGTGCATGTGTATGTCTCGAACACTGAGATTAGAACTAAGGTCTTCAAAACGCACGGGTGAACTTCGCAAACCCTAAACCCTAAACCCTAAAGCCTAAACCCTTAACCCTAAACCCTGAACCCTAAACCCTGAACCCTAAACCTTAAACGCTGGGTGCGAACCCTGGGCCCTCAAACCTCCTCAAACTCAGCCCCGCGCCTTAAGCCCGAAGCTTTCAGCCCCTTTTGCGGATTAGGGTTCCTTTAGGGGCTCCTTTACCGGATCTATAGGGCGTTTAGGGGTTTTGGGTTTTTAAAGGGCTCCTTTAAGGAATGTATAAGGGAATCTATAGGGTGTTTAGGGGTTTTAGGGCTTTAGGGGTTTTAGGGTTCAGGGGCTTCGGGTTCAGGGCTTAGGGTCCAGGGTGGAGGGGGCGCTTGCCACAAGCCTTAAGCCATAAGCTACCAAAACCTACTTTTTTGTGACAACCACCCATATGATTCATATGATAGTCTAGGATGCCCAGTAGTACCCTTATTCCCTTTTTGTAGTCCTAGGTTCCTTATAAAGTTACCCAATACCAAAAAGAGAGGCCTTTTTATTCTTAGGTTACTGGGTATCCTAGGCCATAAGCCCCAAAATCCGGAGAACCTCAACCCGAAAGTCTACGCCCGAAAGCCCCGCAATATGGGTGGTTGTTAAAATAATGGTCCCCTTTTTTGGGTTTTTCCATGTAATACAGCACCTAAGATTTAGGGTCTTCAAAAAAAGGGACCATAATTTTGACAACTACCCACATGAAATCGAAGAGCCCAGGCCCCCAGATCCGAGCCTCAGAACACTCAGCACCGGGGCACTCATAATCGTTACCGGGGTTTCAGGGCTTCCTGGTATATGGCTGGTTGTCAAAATTAGGGTCCCTTTTTGGGTCCCCAGTATAATACGGCACCTATTATTTAGGGTACCCAGAAAGGGACCCTGCATGATTCATATGGTAGTCTAGGATGCCCAGTAGTACCCTTATTCCCTTTTTGTAGTCCTAGGTTCCTTATGCAGTTGCCCAATTCCAAAAAGGGATCCCTTTTTATTCCTAGGTTTCTGGGCATCCTAGTAGTATATTTGTAGGGGTGCAGACATGGGGAACTTCGGTATTGTGAACGCTGAACCCTAAACCCTAGACCCTAAACCCTAGATCCTACACCCTAAGCCCTGAACCCTGAACCCTAAACCCTAAGCCCTAAACCCTGCCTAGACTGTTTGGCAAGCCCAGGCTTAGGGTTGTTAGAGACTCTAATAGCCTTTAAAGGAACCCTTAAAGGAATCTTTAAAGGAACCCTAAAAGGAACCTTTAACGGAACCCTTAAAGGAACCCTAAGGGAAACCTGACCTAAACCCCCAGTCTTCCCAGAGACTCCAATAGCCCTCAATAAAGCATTAAACTATAGTAGGATCCCCAATATGATTTAAGGAATATTCCTTAGTTGCGGGATATTGGAGTCTCTGGGTTTAGGGTTTAGGTTTAGGGTTTAGGGTACCGCGAGAGGCATACCTGAATCCGTGTTGCTCCCTCGCGCTCGAGCTGAGGATTTGTATCGAGTCCTTCAGTCCGCGGATGAAAGATTCCCCAAACCCAAAGTGCAGGGTTCTGGATTCTTATGTCCTAGACAATGTTTCTAGGTTTAAAAAGTTTAAGGGTCTAGAACGTCCATACACGGTTATAGGGGCCGGAATAATGACCAACACGATTCCGTCGGGTTCCAGAACATGACTAAAATGTATACCAAAACCTTCCTCTAACAATCCAAGCCCCATGAAACCCTTAAACCCTTATAATATCCAGTTTAGTAGCCGTTATATAGACCCTTTTCAAGAAGCCCCAGTCTGTATATCAAGGCCCCTATATTGTCCCAACCCCTTCGAATTTTAGGATTTTTTGTTTAGGGTTTATGGTTCAGAGTTAATTTAAGGCTTAGGGTATATTTCGTGTTTCATTTGCATCATGAGGGGGGTGAGGGGTGAGGGGAGAGGGAGGGGGGGTGAAGGGGGGGTGAAGGGGGGAGGGAAAGGGGCGCGGAGCAGGAAGGTGGGTGGGACTGCCCACAGCGAATAGGTTTCTATTTTTTAGGGGGGGGTACCCGCGCAGCCACTCTCCGACGGGTGGGGTCACCGAAAAGGGGATGAAGAGATGGGGAATAGAGGGAATCCGAATAGGAACCTCTGACGGCTTCGGCCGGGGCCCAGGCGAATTTAGAGTATAGTTTAGTTCGGGTTTATTTAATTTAATCATTAAGGGTTGTGTAGGGTTGAAGTTTATGGGTAAGCAGGCACTCAGATTACAGCCAAGGCCAACCCTCCCTCTCCTCAAGGTTGTGTATGGATTTCCAAGGTTTTGCCATGACTTACGAAAACCCTAAACCCCTAAACCCCTAAACCCTAAACCCTAATAAACCCCTAAACCCTAAACCCTAAACCCCTAAACCGCTAAACCCTAAACCCTAAACCCTAAACCCCTAAGCCCTAAACCCTAAACCCCTAAGCCCTAAACCCTAAACCCCTAAATCCGTGAACCTCAACATCCTAAATTAACCCTAAAGGCCTAACCTCAACCCTAAACCCTTAAACCCTAAAGCCCTAAACACTACATCCGTATGCCATAAACCCTAAACCCCTGAGCCCTAAATTCCTAAAATCCTAAACGAACCCTTTCAGATCATTTTCCCTTTAAAGGATCCCTTTAAAGGTTTCTTTACAGGTCGCACTAAAGGAATCCTTATAGATCCCTGTAGCCCATACTCGGAGGTTCATGGGACTTAGTAACTAGGGTTATATTTACGGTAACTATACTTATAATAAGTTGTAGCCCCAGTTAAGGTACTTATAACTGTAGTTACTAAGCCCCATGAACCTCCAAGAAGACTCATAGATGAAGTCCTCGGCTCACACTGCTGCGAGCGTCGCGCGAAAGTCTAGCAAGTGCTGGGCATGGAGGCAGGTTCCGAAAAAATGATCCAGTTTTAGGTTTAGGGTTTAGGGTTTAAAAAGGAAGGGCTCTTCGGGTTTAGGCTTTCAGGGTAAGGGGCTTTTAGGGTTTAGGGTTTAGGGCAGTTTCCGAAAAAATGAAGGGCTCCCGTTGAAGGGTCCTTGCACTCACTAAGGATCCGACTCTTGGTGGTTCTTTAGTAGCTTATGGTTTAGGGTTTAAGGTTAGAGTTTTTATAGGGGTTTCTGACATTCCCATATTATGATTTGGGAAGTTGAGGCACTCGTTCGGCATCATTGAAGTCGCAGAGGCGTAGGGCTTGAGATTAGGCAGGTGCAAAGTTGGGGTGCACCAAAAACTTAGGAAGCCCTGGCTGGACGGCATTATCTGGCGGACTCGTCTTTTGGCTCAGGGCGGTGTGTGAATGTCATGGGCCGGCAAGGTCTCCGGTTTATATAGGCTTCAGGGTTTAGGGGTTTGGGGTTTAGGGTTTTGGGTTTAGGAATGTCATGGGCAGTACATGTGCGGGACTGGCAATCTGGCCACCAGCGGGGTTTTGGGTTTCGGGTGATCTCCTTGGATTGCCCAGAGGAAATGCTCAGAGGAATTGCTGGGAAACCAAGCCCACATTTAAAACCTAGCGTCTTGCGCATGGATTGGTCAGTGGAGTTGGAGGGTTGATGGTTGCATCCGCATACGTAGGCCCATACTTTGAAACAGTATAAAGAAAGCGTTAAGCACCTTGGGTTGTATAAGGAGGACTTCCCCGTTATAGAACCCTTATAGATCCCTGTAAGGAACCCTTAGAGGAACCTTATAACTTAAGGTGTATTCCTTAACTAAGGGGTACCCAGAGCCTCCAAAACCCCTTAATTAAGGAATATACCTTAAATCATATTAGGGCTCCTATTATAATTTAAGATACATTCCTTAATTAAGGGATATTGGAGTGCCCTAAACCCTACACCCTATAGATCCCTTATAGATCCCTTAAAGGAACCCTAGGCATTCTGGAGTCTCTGGGTATATTGGACGCAGCTTAACGCGCCATTGCGTCCAACCCTGCCATGGCGGATCGCGAGGGGGGGTTGCTGAGCCCGTCTCGGAAGGACCCATGGGATTTGGGATTTAGGGTTTAGGGGTTTTGGGTTTAGGTTTTAGGGTTTAGGGGTTTAGGGGTTTAGGGGTTTAGGGGTTAGGGGTTAGGGTTTAGGGGTTTAGGGGTTTAGGGTTTAGGGGTTTGGGATTTAGGGTTTAGGGGTTTTGGGTTTAGGGTTTAGGGGTTTAGGGGTTTAGGGTTTAGGGGTTTAGGGGTTTAGGGTTTAGGGGTTTAGGGTTTAGGGTTTAGGGTTTAGGGGTTTAGGGGTTTAGGGTTTAGGGGTTTAGGGTTTAGGGTTTAGGGGTTTAGGGTTTAGGGATCCAGCCCTGAAGTTAAGCTGGGATGTTTCCCTTGGTATACTGTAGAGTCGTCCTCGGTTTGCTCCTAATGACATGAGGTGCAGTCTTTGTTCTAGAAAGGTTTCCCTAATCCCAAAGGCTTCGGAAACCCTAAACCCTAAACCCTAAACCCTAAACCCTAAACCCTAAACCCTAAACCCTGAACCCTAAACCCTAAACCCTAAACCCTAAACCCTGAGTGGCTTGCTTTCCATTGTATGCCGCTCTAGAAAAAGGGCTCCCGGGATTCGTTGACGAGAAGTGAACACCCTAGCAAAGCGCAGGTGCCACCATTTTTCTCGATCCAGAAGGAATATGGGAGTTTCCGAAAACTAGGAGTACCTTAGTTGGGGGTTCTTATAGTAGGGATCCTATTATTTGGGGTATCAGATTAGGGTCCCCTATTTTCGGAAACCCCCATGTGAGCAAGAGCTGGACTTTGCTGGAGAGGCTCTTTCAGTGCAAGCAGAGCGACTAGCCTTTGCGATCGGTGCCAGGGAGGATGTGGTCACACCCGTAGAAGACTAGTTATGCGGTCTTGTTCCGTGTTTCGGTCTGAGCATGACGTCGCAGCAAGCGGCAATAAATGGTGCCCGGGTAGGATGTCGTTCAACCCCACCTAAAGCCACGATCCCGAACCCCGGGCCAGAAGCATGACTCAGACTTTCTGCAGCTTGCGCATGCCTTCGGCTTCTTCCACGTCGGAGGACTCCCTCAGCAGATCGCCGTCTAAAGGACAGAGGCTGCGATGACTGAACAGGTGCAGCACTGTGTCAGCTCTATCCGGCTCTTGATTAAACGATCCGCGTTGGATTCCGCCCTGGAATAATCATCGATTGGTTGCTAATCTGGAGGAGCCGCCATGTGAGACGTCCCGGCTTGGTTGTTCGACTCACCGTGCTGAAGGCGATGCCGTTTAGGGGTTTAGGGTTCAGGGTTCCGCTTACCAGAAGCGAGGGCGATGCGCGGCAAGATGGGCGATGCCTTGAACTCACTGGTTTAGAGTTTAAGGCTTGGGGGAAACATAAGGATAGGCATAGATATGACCTTGCTATAAGCATAGGAGCAAGGCATGGATGTAACGAGAGATATGCCTATAAACAAAACCAAATTGTAAAGAACTGACAAGATGAATGATTAAATCAGCAGATATGTACATATATATATATATATACATATCTATATCTATATATATATATATATATATATATATATATGTAGGGTGTGGTGCTATTTTTGGGATCGCCCCAAGGGGCCTTAGTTGGGAGAACTACCCGTATATGCTCTCGGGTCCCGGCCCCCCCCCCCCCTCAATCCCCGGCCCGCGGCCCCTGGCCCGCCCCCGCTCCCAGCGGTCCCGCACAACCGGAACGAACCCACGCAAACCAGAGGGAGGGAGGACGATGGAGAATGATCCCAGCCAGAGCAGAAAACCGCACCATTTGCAAAGGAGAGGAGAGCATCAAATTTTGTAGTTTGCTAACGAGCACGTGACGATGACATTAATACTAACAAGTGGCAGCAGCCGTACTCTGCACAACACACTGCCCCCCACAGGCGGGGTGGGGCCAACCAACAAGACCACAGGTCCAACCCCACAGGCGACAGGGCACTTAACGATGAAGCGAGCAACCATACAGCCATACCATACTTCTGTAGCACACACTGCCCTCCACAGGCGGGGCGGGGCCAACCAAAACGACCACAGGCCCCACCCCACAGGGGGGAGAGGACAAGGCCAAACAAGACCACCCATGAAGACGGGAAAGCAACAAGGCCAAATAAGAAGACTACACTTGGCAGGCAAGGGGAGGCATACTATGGGGTGGGGGGGGGGGGGAAGGGTGTGTGTGGCAGCCCTGCATCATGTATACACATGCCTATCCATGCGCATAAATACATATATGTATAGGAATGCAAGCACGCAGCGATAGATAGGTAGTCACATCCATACGCGAACACCGCAACTTACATGGCTAACCGGACAGATGACTAGACAATCCGACGAATCGGTACGACAGTCAGTAGATTAGTAAAGGAACATGACCGAACAAGTAAGTAGGCACATGCATCAAGGAGTAAAGTAGATTCATACGTGCGTAGGCCAGAAAACAAATCGATAGGGTCCATAATGCTAAACACCTACATTTAGATAAAATTGTCATACATGAATACTTGACCAATGTGTTACATAGATACGTGAATGCCTGTCTCTCTCTCTCTCTCTCTCTCTCTCTTCTCTCTCTTCTCTCTCTCTCTCTGTCTCTCTCTCTCTCTCTCTCTCTCTCTCTCTCTCTCTCTCTCTCTCTCTCTTTCTCTCTCTCTTTATATATATATATATATATACACACACATATTGGAATCTGCAGGTGTATATATATATATATATATATATATAGATAGATACATAGATGCACCCCCTAGACCCTAAACTCACAGACCGAAACCCTAAACCCCAAGACCCTAAATCCGTAGCGTTATGCATGGGACCGGGCATCATACATAGATGCGTAGATTTGTGAAGATCCACCCCGTGCCGAGGATCCCTCCAATGAACCGCCTGCGACGTTGCCCACGCCTCGGAACAAGGCAGGAAGGAGGTGTTTTAAGGGTACTTTAGGGTTTGGGGCTTAGGGTTTTAGGGGTCAGGGTATAGGGTTTAGGGTTCTAGAATAGGGTTATCTGCAAGGGTTTAGTGTTCAGGGTGTACCTAAAGGTTCATGGGACTTAGTAGCTAGGGATTTAGGGTTCCTTTTGCGGGTACTATAGGCTTCTATAAAGGGGTTCCCTTGTGGGTGTAGGGTTTGCGGAAACTTACAGGTTCATGGGACTTAGTAGCTAGGGTTCTCAACAAGGTACCTACTGATAAATACTTATATCTCCAAATCATGTACTTGTAGCTGTACTTAAGAAGTCCCATGAACCTCCAAGTAGGGCCCTTAATACGTAGTTAGAATATAGCGGGTAATTCTGGGGCAAGCAAAAGGAAATAGTGTTATTGATTATTCCGCACCTATACGGGAGTTCTTGAAATTAGGGGTACCTTATTTTGGGGTCCCTATAATCAGGATCCTACTATATAATTCATTTAGGGTACTATTCTAGGGTCCCCTAATTTTCGGAAACTCCCAAATAAGAAATACGTAGGGTTCGCAAGGAACCTATCAGGAATCTATTAAAAGCTCTATAGGGTTCCCTTAAGGATTCTATACGGGATCCCCATATACTATGTCTAGGGCTAAGACCAGCTGAAGTTTCCAATTCATCTTCAGATGGTTTAGGGCCTGGGTTTAGGGGTTTAGGACTTGGGTTTAAGGTTTAGGATTTAGGGCTTGGGGCGTTGAGCCTTGCACCCTGAGCTTTGCAAGTTGAGGTGTCACGGTTCTTCTTACGGAACTCAAACCAGTAACGCTAAGCCTAGAGACTCCAATATCCCTTAATTAAAGAATATTCCTTAAATTATAGTAGGATCCCTAATATGATTTAAGGTATATTCCCTAATTAAGGGATATTGGAGTCTCTGGGAGCCTGCACATGCCCCCACTTCGGTATCCTTACGTTTATTAAGAGCCTACGACCTACAAGACGCCGAGCCAACTTACAAAAAAAGCCGTGCAACCCCATACTGTTGATGATATAAATCCTGCATGACCTTAAGGGCCCAAAACTATGGGAATTATGGTATATTCCTTATTATGGGTAATGCAGGATTTATATCATCAACCGTAGTAGCTATGATATCTTTAGTCAGGTTCTGTAAGACGACTCCTCAACACACTTAAACCCTGGTAATGTTTCCGCACAATCCCATCAACCTCTAAACATCATGCAAAACTTGATTAGAACCCTATCAAACCCCAATGAACCGTCCGAAGTCACCCTGGCTTCAGCTTCCGCGCGTCGCCTCCACTCAGCGGGCCCCGCGCACTGCTTCGGCCTGCACCGATGCCCAGGACTTGCTGCGATGGGCACCCTCGGTTTAGGGTTGAGGGGTTTAGGTCCCTAAACCCTAAACCCTACGAGTCTTAGGTTTTTGAGTTCTTATAGCAGGGACCCGGGAAGTTTTGGGAAAAAGGTTTAGGTTTTTTCGGGCCGGGGCCTCCGAGAGCAGTTTTAGTGCTGTGGGTCCTTTTGGGACCGGAGGATTTGTTTTGTGGTGGGGGGGGGTTCGGGTTCCTAATATAGAAACCAGAATATGTACCAACACTCTTCCTTCTGGGTTCCTGCTCTAGTTATCGTATAGTATACCCGGCAGTCCTATTCTGATCATGAAGGCATATAAAGTTATGGGCTTAGGCTTTCTTGAGCCCTAAACCCTTTAGGAGACCCAACAATTTGAGGGTACCCCAAGCCCCCACGCCGTAAACCTTCAACCTTTTTTTGTATGCAGGATCTGGTTCTGTGGTGGGTTGCTACTATAGGGGCCTAAATAACCATCTATACTATTTCGGGGGTCCTTAGTATAATCATAGTAGAACCCCGAAACCCTATTCTAATTATTTGAAACGCTTCGCGTCGTCCGCCTCGGCCCGGCTTTTCGCGCATGCGGCGACTGGCTACCATCCGGCGCAGCATGGTTTTGGCTGTGGGGTTTAGATGCGTGCGCACAGAAAAGTTGTTCCAACTGTGTAGCCTGCTGCACTACACATCAGGTTACCCTAAAGCCCCAAAGTAGTTCCTTTTTGGGGTTCGTATATAGAAGTCTATAAGGTACTCCCAAAAAGGAACTACTTTGGGGCCGTAGGGTAATGCAGGGTGCTTCTTTTTGTCGGGTCCTGCGCGTAGTAGACACGAAATGTGCACCTGCATTACAGTCCGGTGTCGTCGGAAATTCCCAGAAAGCTCGCACCTGTCAGCGAGGGGGGGAGGGGCGGGAGGGTGGGGGAGGAGGGGAGGCGGGGGGGCAGGGCGGGAGAGGGGGGCGTCGTGCTTTCCGGTGCAGGTGTTGTCCGGGCTTTGAAAGTTTTTCAGGCTGGCGTTAGGGTTGCAGCCTTCAAGGCGAGCCCCAACACAGAAAGATGCTACGAAAGCTCGCACTTGTCAGCGAGCGGAGGAGGGAAGGGAGGAGGCGGGGGGGGAGGGGGGGTAGGGGGGGGAGAAGGGGGGGGAGGGGGGGGAGCGGGGAGGGGGGGGGAGGCGAAGAAAATTGAAAGCCAAAATCCACTGGAGAAGGCGAAAATTCACCGCCGGACCTTGGGGCTCATCGACACGTTTCCATTTTTTAGGGGGGGTGGGGGGCGTGGTGGAGGGGATTAAGAGGTGGGGAATAGAGGAAATCCGAATCAGAGCTTCGGCCGGGGCCGAGGCGAATTACGGCCCCAATATTACGCTCGGCACCTGACGGGGCCGGATGCGGCTGCGACTGCAAGGCGTTTTTCATTCGTCTGTACTAGACGTGCTTATGAAGCCCGAACTGTCGAGTGCGGGCTCACCTCGACATAAGCGACACAGAAATCGACATAGGCGAGGCAGACTGGAAGGATGAGACGGTGTGGGAGGGGCTCAGGATACGGGCAATCATGCGTGAGAAGTACCCATCCAGGCCAGTCCACAATTCGAGTGGGCCGTGCGAAGTTGCCTTGAAGAGTTTTGGGCTCATTGCCCTTTGCGCATGCATGGGGCATGCAAACAAACAGTCCGCTAACTTGGTCCTGCGCATCCTGCCATCCTGCTGCGTGAACTCGTTTCAACACACCCGGACGGCCTTGACAGCTCACACGACATGCTTGCATGCATTTGGGAGTTTCCGAAAATCGGGGACCCTAATATAGTGCCCTAAATAGTAGGATCCTTATTAAGAACCCCAAAATAAGGTGCCCCTATTTTCGGAAACTCCCATTTGCTTCGGGGCTTGTTTAAGACACCGCTTAAGGTGAGGGCAATGAACCTATGATCGGGTTGTGCCTCGTTTGAGTTTAGAGCTTATGGTTGGGTTCATGGGACTTCGTAACAAGGGTTTAGGGCTCCCTTTAAGGGTACTATAGGGTTCTATGATAGGGTTCCCTGTGCGGGTGTAGGGCTTGCAACCTACTTATAAAGATTCATGGGACTTAGTATCTCGGGTTCAAAATCAGGTATTAATCATAATTAACTATCGCCCCAGTTGAGGTGCTTCGAGCTTGATCTAGTAATTCCCGTGAACCTCCAAGTATAAGAACATTGCAGAGAACTTTTTTTTTTTTTCCTTTTTCTCGGCTGCCTGTGGCGGTCGAAACCGAAACCCAGAAACCCTAAGCCCTGCCTTGTTGTTCCCCCATTACCGGGTTTGAGATCCCTTCTTTAGCTCTTTCGTAGGGTTTGTATCCTAGGGTGTAATAGACAAGCAGAAGTAATTGCCAGATTAGTCTGTAGGGCTCCTTCATGCAAGTATACGAAAATTTACCCCCCAAACCATATTCCAATACTCCAGGCTCCTATATCATTCCGGACTGTCGAAGGGAGGGCTTGGCATTGGGTCTTTCAGGGTTTAGGGTTCAGGGTTTAGGGTTTTAAGGTTTTAGGTTTAGGGTTTAAGGTTTAGGGTTTAAGGTTTGGGGTTCAGGGCCCGAGTTTAGCAGCGGTCCGGGTTCCAGACCCCAAACTTCGAGGTCTCTCAGTGGGCCCTTCTTGTGGTCTTAGGTTCTGCACAACACTACTCCAATACCGAATAGGGAGCCCTCTTATTGCTAGAGTACTGGGGGTCCTAGACATTCAAACAAAAACACTAAATGCCCTAAGCTTCAAACCCTAGACTCTACTTAAAGGTTCACGGGACTTACTAACTAGGGTTATAGATGAGGTACTTATACCTGTACTTACTAAGGGAGTACCCTTACAGAAACCCTGTGACACTCGAAGAGATGACTTTACGGAGCCTTTCAAGTTACTGGGTCCCATGAACCTCCAAGTAGAGTCAGGTTTTTTGGGTTTTTTGCCGTCAGGAGCAGCAGTGCGCCGAAGAGGCCGACTGGGCGGGGGCATGGGCGTTATGGTGTAGGGCTTGAGGGTTTGAGGGTTTAGGGGTTTAGGGTTCAGGGGCCAGCCTTGTCCTTTTTCATGGTTCCCCCCCAAAAGAATAAACAGACCGGCTAGTAGACCTTCTTAAATAAGTCCTATCAAGGGATATAGGTATAGGGCTCTGTCTATTATTTCTAAAAGGACAAGGGTGTCAGGGGCCCTGAACCCTAAGCCCCAAGAGATCCTGGTATTGCGTGAAGGAGGGCCCGGAGACTCCAATATCCCTTGGTTAAGGAATACACCTTAAATTATAGTAGGATCCCTTATATGATTTAAGGTATATTCCTTAATTAAGGCATATTGGAGTCTCTGGGGGGTTCAGAAGTCGATTCAGGGGAAGTCGGTTAAAGACCTTAGAAGGACGTGGGGCATGGGGTCATCTCTGGGCATGTGTGAAGCCCTAAACCCAACCCGAAACCCTAAACCCTAAAGAGAAAACCCTAAACCCTAAAGCTATGATACTTATGTAGTGCATTTTGTATGGGAATATTTGGTATCCCAGCCCAAGGAAACGTAGAACCATGTCAAACGGAGCATCGCACCTCAGCTTTCCATGTAAGCCCTCAACCTAAACTCTAAACCCCAAACGCTAAGCCCCTCAAAACCGAAACCCCTAGACCCTAAACTCTAAATCCGAATACCCTGAAATTCTGTATCACATAGAACTTTATAAACCGTGGGCAAGGCACAAAACTGCGTGGGCAAGGCCATTTTGCGGGCATTTTTTCAGGATCTAGAAACTGGCCTTGCCGGCGAAATTTTGTGCCTTGCCCATGCCTTTGGCACAAAAATTCGTGGGCAAATTCGTGGTGGGCTATGCCATTTTGTTGTGGGTCTTGGGTGATATTCGTGGGCAAGGCTCGAAATTTCGTGGTCCTAAACCCTAAACCCCTAAACCCTCAACAGTAGCCCGAACGCAAAAATCATAGGCTGAATTCTCAAACAATAGTCCGAACCCTGAATAGTAGTCTGAACCTTCGGGTTCGTTTTTGGAGTCCCGTAAAGGGTCTCGTTTAGGGCTCCTTTTAGGGTTCCATTCAGGATTCGGTTTGGGGTTAAGGTTAGGGTTTCGTTTCAGTTTAGGGTTTCGCTTATGATTTCTACTTTTCTGTCAGGGCTCCGTTTAGGGTTTCGTTTAGGGTTTCGTTCCGGGTTCGTTCATGGTTTCGTTTAGGGCTACGTTCAGGGTTCCGTTTGGAGTTCCGTCCATGCAAGGTTCGTGTAGGGTTTGGTTTAGGACTTAAGGCATTTGGCTCTGGGAAAACCATAAACGTTGTATTTTCTGGATGTTAATTAATACGGGGGCCTAGAGAATTACCAAGGCTATCTTGGTGGCTCCTTCTTATAATTATAGATAATGGGCCCCCGGGCCCCAAACCCTGTACTATTAATTAGGGCACTATATCATAGATCCGTTATTGTATCCCTTGTAGATCCCCTTCGAAGGAGCCCTTTAAAGGAACCCCTATAGGTTTTAAAAGAATTCTGGGCAGATGGGCGTTTTTTGCTAAATCCGAAGCCGTCAGCTCGACAAGATACTGGTTGATCCGGAGCTGCTAAGCCCTAAACCCCAACCCCTAAACCCTAAAGCCTAAACCCTAAGCCCCTACACCCTAAACCCTAAAGTTTAAGCCTAAATCCAAAAGCTTAAACCCTAAACCCCTAGACCCTAAACCCCTGCCTGTTGCCTGCCCAAATGGGCTTTTGATACGCTTTCTGCAGATCGAAAAGAGGCCCTTAAAAAAAAAAAAAAAAAAACAAACCCTGAACCCTTAAACCCTAAACCCCTAAACTCCTGAACTCTACGCCTCGACTCTGAGGAGTGCGATGCTGACGAGTGTGGCGACGAACGCCGCCCACCTGCCGAGAGTGTCGACTGTCTGGGTGTCCTGGCAAAGTCTTAGGGTTTAGGGATTAGGGTTTCGGGTTTTGAGTTTAGGGGTTCTGAGGCTCTAGGGTTGATGCATTAGGGTTTACAGGGTCTGGTAACATAGTGCAGAGAGATCTTTCCTTTTCGCACATTCAGGTTGCCATTTTGGGCTCCGATGGTCCCGGCATTGCGAGTTCAATTCGGGTTTTCGGGCTAAGAGGTTTAGGGGTGAGGGGCTCTAGGATTATTTAGGGGTTGAGGGTTGATGGGATTTTGGGAATGAATAGGCATAGTGTTCATGGGTATTGCAAGCCTCTGAACCCCAGACTCGTAAAGCCTTGAACCCAAAAAGTCCGAAACCCGAAAACCAGCAGCGTTTGCGGGTTTAAGGCGTTTCACCATCCAAGGGTTTGCCAGGGCTTGTGGGTTTCTATAGGGTTTGCACGAGCTTCATAGCGACATGGTTGTTGTTCGGTTTTGGATGTGGGGTTGCATTGTCTAGAGGGATTCAGGGTCGCCGTCAGTCAGTGGTCCCTACAACCAGGAGCTTATTCCCTTGAGTGTCTATGCTCGCATTTATCTTTCCGGGGCTATAGCTCGCGCATAAGCACCCATAAGCTCAGCAGAGAGACTTTGCGTGTTTGAAAGCCATGTCCATCAATGTGGAAGTTCAACTGCTCAGTGGCAAAACAGCTGTTCTGGAGGCAGACCTTGATGAAGTCGTGGGAGCTTTCAAGCTTCGGGCGCAGGCAGCACTTGGAGTGGGGAACGGCCTGTTGGTGGACTCGTCTGGAAGCCTTGTGGATGTATTTGCACCGATCAGGTGTGCCAGGCTGCAGAATGGAGATTCCCTGACCTTGCAAATAGCCAAACTGCAAGCTCACGCCTCTGAATACGCTTTTGCTGCCATTCTTGGTGATGGATCGGTCGTGACATGGGGCTATGCTGACTATGGTGGCGACAGCAAGGCTGTGCAGGATCAGCTGAAGAATGTACAGCAGATCCAAGCCTGTGACAATGCTTTTGCTGCCATTCTTGCTGATGGATCCGTCGTGACCTGGGGTGAACCAGATGGTCACGGTGGATGTACCAGCCGTTCTGTGCAGCAACAACTGAAGAATGTAGAGCTAATCCAAGTCTCAAAACGTGCATTTGCAGCCATTCTCGGTGACGGATCTGTCGTGACCTGGGGTCGCGCTTCATGTGGCGGCGACAGCGGAGCTGTGCATCATCAGCTGAAGAATGTGCAACAGCTTCAGGCCAATAACTACGCTTTTGCAGCCATTCTTGGTGATGGGTCTATCGTGACCTGGGGTAATCCTGCTTATGGTGGCAACAGCAGGGCAGTGCAGCATCAGCTGAAGACTGTGCGACAGATCCAAGCCTCTGACCAAGCTTTTGCTGCGATTCTTAGTGACGGCTCCGTCGTGACCTGGGGTGATGCAGAGCGCGGTGGCGACAGCTCCGCAGTGCAGGATCAACTGAAGACTGTGCAGCACATCCAAACCTCCCGCAGAGCCTTTGCCGCCATTCTTGGTAAGGGGTCTGTGATCTCCTGGGGTGATGCTCGCTTTGGTGGAGACAGCAGTGCCGTTCGGGATCAGCTGAAGACTGTGCGGCAGATCCAAGCCAGTGACAGTGCTTTTGCTGCTATTCTTGCTGATGGGTCCGTCGTGACCTGGGGTAGTCTTGTCGAAGGTGGAGACAGTAGTGCTGTGCAGGATCGGCTGAGGAATGTGCAGCAGATCCAAGCCACGAATACTGCTTTCGCTGCCATTCTTGGCGATGGATCTGTCGTGACCTGGGGTGCTGCTAGTGTCGGTGGCGACAGCGGCGCTGTGAAGCATCAGCTGAAGAATGTGCAGCAGATCCAAGCCACGAAAACCGCTTTCGCTGCCATCCTTGGAGATGGATCGGTTGTCACCTGGGGTGATGCTCGCCACGGGGGTAACAGTCGAGCTGTGCAGCATCAGCTGAAGAATGTGCAGCAGATCCAAGCCAAGGAGTATGCTTTTGCAGCCATTCTGGGCGATGGGTCTTTCGTAACCTGGGGTAGTGAGATGGCAAAAGAAGCGCCGTGCGAGTGAGAGCGCCAAACCACCACTATGATCCGAAAGACAAGAGCTCATTGTCAACTATGCGAGACATTGTGAGACGCTGCCGCAGGAGCGAAGTAAGTCATGACCGGTCGTAGCCGTAGCGGCACCATTTACTCCGAGTCTTAGCAGTCATGCGCAAATATATATCTCTCTGCTGGGCTGCTGGTCTTGCTGCTACCACCCTAAGCCCTAAATCCCAACCCCTAACGCCTAAGCCCTAAACCCTAAACTCAAAACCGTTCAAAAAAAACCCTAAACTCTAAACCCTAAACACTAAAACCCTAAAACCCTAAACCTCAAGCCCAAGTTTCCTTAAGGATGGAAGCCCTACGGTCTCGACTCTCAGGCTTATGGTCTCAAAGACCATACGGGTGGTTGTCAAAATTGTGGCCCCCTTTTTGGGTACCCTAAGTCTTAGGTGCCGTATTATATCAGGGCCGCTAAAAGGGACCATAATATTGACAACCACCCATACGGTAAAGCCTTGGCTTTTAAGGGGTCTACAAGGGTTCCTTTGATGGGATCGAAAGGGTTTGGGGTTTAGGGTTTAGGGTTGTTACGGGTTTGGTGCGTGGGGTTTGCGTCCCAGTTTTGTGGTATCAGATCTTGTAGGGTTTCGGGTTTGGGTTTGGGTTTTAGCCTTTCGTGTTTTATGATGTCTACTGTGCAGGGTTGGGGTTCGGTTTTAGAAATTAGGCAGATCTGCTTGTCAAAAGTGCTCGCTGACACCCTAAACCCTAAGATCCTCAACTCTGGCTTGTTGTAAACGCCAAGCCCTCCAAACCGTTTCCAGTCCACACCGAAGCACTGGACTATGAAAGGCCAAGCTGAAGAGCGTTTCGCTAGAGCTCAGACTCTGGCAAGTTTGATGGTTGGAACGGGGTTCTAGAAGGCTAGGGTTTGATAGGGTTTTAATGGAAAGCCACCCTGAACCTGAAAGCCTTGAGCCTTGAACCCCAAACCTTTCAGAGGTAATGACAAGCGCCCGTATCTTCCTCTGCTTCTTTTTGGGTCCACGCTGGTTGGAGCCATCCACATGCTTATGGCGGCTCGACAGAGAGAGGTTTTAGGGTTTAAAGTTTAAGGCTTCGGGTTTAGGGTCTAGTGGGCCTTAGGGGTTGGAATGTCAACAAGAGTGGTTGTCAAAATTATGGTCCCTTTTTGGTGCCCTAATATAATGCCGCACCTCTGTTTTGACAACTGCCCACAAGAAGAGCGACCTTTATAGATATCATGGAGCTTCTTGGAAATTAGGGTTTAGGGTTTAGAGTTTAGAGGGTTCGAAGCACCTTGACTGAGACTATGGCTGGTCTAGTTACGGGATTTGCGACACTAGTTACCAAGTCTAAGAAACCCTTAAAGGCACCCCTTTAAGACACCCTTCAAGGAAACCCTAAACTCTAGACCCTAAGCATCCCTAAATCCTCAACCCTTAAGGGAAGAAAATGGCAAGCCTGAGCCTCCTGGAAGCTTCGAAGCCGAAACGTTTGAGCCAGAAAGACCCAGAGACTCCAATATCCCTTAGTTAAGGGGTATACCTTTAATTGTAGTAGGATCCTTAATATGATTTAAGGTATATTCCTTAGTTAAGGGATATTGGATCCGCACATGCCTCGGGATTAGTGTTCCTTTAAGGGTGCGTCTAAGGGTTTCTGAATTTAAGGGTACTATGAGGGTACTACAGGGTTTAGGGTTTGGGGTTCTGAGTTTGGGGTTTGGGGTTTAGGGGCTTGGATTCGGGGTTTGAGGTTTGGGGTTTGCGGGTTTGGGCTTCAGCTTCCGGGTTTCTTGGGTTTTAGGGGGGCTTCTGTCAACACTACATCTTATCTTCACAAAACTCGACGATCTTGAGGCTTATGAAGCCCTCATAAAACAAGCCAGGGTGCGAAAACTAATCCAGCAAACCCTCATCAGCTCAGGAATCCTAAAGCTCTAAGACCCTAAAGCCGTAAAGTCTAAGAGGACCTATTGTCGGAGCCTGATGAACTAGCCATACTGTTCCGTCGGTTTTCTGGTATGACTGTACTATAGCATACCCCACGACCGATTCTAATGTTAAGGCCACTACTTGGAGGTTCATGGGACTTAGTAAGTACAGTTACAAGTACTCTAATTGGGAATATAAGTACATATAAGTGTAGTTACCTTGTTTATAGCCCTAGTTAATGAAGTCCCATGAACCTCTTAGTACATCAGGCCCTAAACCCTAAACCCTAAACCAATAAAGTCCAATGAACCTCTTAGTACATCAGGTGGAGTTCCCGGTAATCTATCGCGACCTACCTTCGGCCTACGGCCTGCGCGGCTACTTCCTCTGCGTCTACGGGGTGTCTGATCCGCAAAGCCGTGGAGTTTACCCTTAGGCTCTAAGGACTCATAGTTTAAGGCTTTTGGGCCCAAAGACCATACTATATAAGGCTTTTGGGCTATTTTGAGCCTTAGTGTTAGGCTGTAGGATTCTTATTTTCCAGAGGGGGCAGCCTAACAGGCTCAGGGTTTAGGAGTCGGGTTTGTTTCGGGCGTAGGGCTAAACCCTAGACAGCCCTAAACCCTAAACCCCTAAACCCGCAACCCTATGCACTAAGCAGCAACTTCCCCAAACCTGGGAGTTGGAGCTTGCGCTCCAAACACCGAGAAGCCCGAAAACCCAAGAATAGGCAAAACTCCAATGCCACGGGTTCCTTTGAGGGTTCCTTGAAAGGGCTCCTTTAAGGGTTCCCGCAAGGGTTCCTTTTAAGGGTTTTTACAAAGCTTCTCTGTCGACTCGAATAAAAAGACCCGATACAGTCGAAGCCTTGAAACAGCCCCATCGAAGCCTCTTTCCGGTGCCGCAGAGTGGTCACACGGCCTTGGGGTTTAAGGTTGAGGGTTCAGGGTTCATTTAGGGTTTAGGGGTTTAGGGGTTTAGGGTTTAGGGCTTAGGGTAAAGATACAGTGCCCTGCGCGGCCCAATCGAACACGCCATGTGAAACCCTGCACTCCAAGCTATGTTGGCTTCCCATCACATAAACCCCTAGCCCAAGCCTTCGGCCCGCAGCCAGACAAAAGCCATGTAAGACAGGGGTGTTAGTTGCTACCTATACTATTTTTCGGGTTCCTTCTTATGATTATAGTATAATGGGCCCCAAAACCCTATTCTATTTCTTAAGACCCCTACACTAAATCCTTATTGTAGCCCTTATAGTAGCCCTTAATAGACCCCTTTAAAGCAACCCTATTCTACTTGTTCAGGCCCCTATTGGCTCCTATATTACACCCCCGTAGGAACTTCTCAAAGGCCCTAAACACCCTCAATATAGGAGCCTAACTCAGAAACCCTGGGTTTTTATTGGGTTCCTTATATGGATTGTCAAAATTAGGGTCCCTTTTTGGGTACCCTCAATAATAGGTGTATTAGGGACCCCTTTTGGGACCATAGTTTTGACAACCACCCATATGAATTCTACGTCTTTGGGGTTATAAGCCCAGGGTTTCTTAATCAGGTTCCTACATTACCCTTCAACCCCAAACCCCAAGGCAAAACCTTAAGGCTTAAGGTTTGGGTTTAGGGTTTAGGGGCTGAAGGCTTAGGCCCTAAATCAACGGTCCCAGAAACCACTAAATTCTAAAACCCCCTACGAAAAGCCCTTTAAATCCCATGCAACACCTTTAGCCCTACCGAAACACGATAAAAAACACCCTTCAAAAGACCTTAAACGTAGCTTCTCAAAGGTTGCCGAGTAGCTGACTGTGTACACTTTACACTTTTTGGACAATGTTATCCCTCATCGATCGGGAAGTGCACGCTTTGTTTGGCTTATGAACTCAGCAACTAAGGCAATGCCATAAACCGTAAACCCAAAATCCTAAGCCCTCTGAATCCTAAATCTTAAGCCCCCTTATACCCTCAACCCTAAACCCCTGTAGATCCCCTTTAAAGGAACCCTTATACATAGACCCCTGTAACAAAAGGGCCCTGAACCTCCCAAAGGTTACCCTGGGCTGCCAAGTCTATTGCGTGCTCTGCGACCCGGGCAAACTTCAACCACAGGTCTGGGCGATGCTAAAGCTTTTCTATAGTTTTGAACAGGGGTTACTTTTTTAAAGGGTTCCTTTAAGGGTTACTATAAGGATACTGTAAGGGTACTATGATGGTAAAGCTCCTTTGGGTTTAGGGAGTTTAGGGGGTTTAGGGGTTGGGGGTTCAGGGGTTTAGGCGTTTAGGGTTTAGGTGCAGAGGTTGAAGATGTAGGGTTAAGGGTGTAGGGTACTAGTAGGAATAAAGAAGAGAGCCATACTAGTGTTATCTGCAGTGGTAAGAACGAGAGGAGTAATCGTGATGGTCATCATGGCCAAACTAGTTCGAGTAGCAGCCGTGACGGGAGTTTCCGGAAATAGGAGACCCTAATATAGTATCCTAAATAGTAGGATCCTCAGGAAAAGGACCCCACAGTAAGCTATCCCAATTTTTTCGGAAACTCCCATAAACGACATGGCAAGAAGAGGAGTTTCACTCGCCCGGGAGTCATACCTACACGAACCATGGCAGCTGCCACGGTAATCTTCTTACAAACAAACGGCAGTAGTAAGAGTCTGAATAACCGTCATCACAACAGCAATCATAGCAATGACAGCAATAACAGCAATACCAGCACTAGAAGCGTCGATGCTGATAGCTTATAGAAGCCAGGTTTAGGAAAAGTCAAGGGTTGAAGGCTTAGAGTTGAGGGTTCAGAGAGTTAAGATAAGAACTGCAGACGGTAACAGCTGCCGAAAAGGCTATAATACCAGCAATGCCAGGAACAGCCGCATTGCATGTTTTTTCGTTGGTTACGCAAACTGCACTGACGGCAGAGGTTCTACTGGTTACACGGAAAGGTTCGACAGTGTCACGGTCAAATGAAGGGCAATCGCACTCTGTCGTATGCAGTTTCCGGTAGCATGACTTTCTTGTTTTTGTGGAAGGTTGTCGTTCCGTGCATTATTGTTGTCCTTGTCACTGTCATGGTCGCTGAGGTTGTTGTTGTGGTCGTGATTGTGGTTGTTGTTGTGGTTGTTGTATCTCTACTAGTAGTAGCAGTCGTCGTCGTAGTAGTAGTAGTAGTAGTAGTAGTAGTAGTGGTGGTAGTGGTAGTGGTAGTAGTAGTAGTAGTAGTAGTAGTAGTAGTAGTAGTAGTAGTAGTAGTAGTAGTAGTAGTAGTGGTAGTAGTAGTAGTGGTAGTGGTAGTCGTAGTGGTGGTGGTAGTAGTAGTAGTAGTCGTAGTGGTAGTGGTAGTCGTAGTGGTGGTGGTAGTGGTCGTGGTCGTGGTCGTGGTCGTGGTCGTGGTAGTGGTAGGTAGTAGTCGCATAGCACAGTAGTAGCGGGCAGTAGAAGTAGAAAAGTAGTAATAGTAGTAGAAATAGTCAACAGAGAGGACATGTAGTAGCCTTGGCAGGAGCACGAGGCATTTGCGCAGGCGAACCCAACAGTGGATGGGTCGAAGGCTCTGCCACGGCGCTGTCACAAGATGTGGCTCTTTAAGCAGCCAATCAGGAGACTTGGATTCCTTGAAGGGATCTTCGGGGTTTCGGTTTTGGAGTTTAGGAGTTTAGGGTTTAAGATTTTTCGAAAACGGTTCTAAACAGGGTTTCAAAACGTATTGCCGTTTACCTTTGCTTCCGCACGTGGATGCAGGAGATACGACCACTACTGCCGGTGGCTCACGAATGCTATAGGCCTTCTGAATCATCGTGTGCCTGTATTGCTTTGAGCAGCTTATTTCGTGTTTCTATTCTTCGTGGCACGACAACTCAAGGCAACCCTTGAACTTCCGAACACCCTCCGAACACCCTAAACCGATGCTGCAGAGCAGAGGAGTTTGTGCTAATGCTGATTGGGCTGCTGATAATCGGCACAGCTGGATGCCTTGTGGACTTCGTCCTGCTCATCTGGACATCTTCCGAAGGGCATCATTTCACAGGGTTCCTGCTGATAATGCACATGACGCGCCATGGCTGGCTGAAGAGAGTCACAACTATGCAAGAATGCCGGTAGAGCCTCACATCCCATACAAGTGCTTTGCACACCCTCAACCCTAAACTCTAAGCTCTAAACCTAAACCCCTAAGCCTCTAAACCCCCAAGCCCCTAAGCCCCTGAACCCCTAAACCCCTAATCCCCTAAAGCCCTAAACTCAAAGCTCTAAAACCTAAACTTAAACCACTAAACTACAACCCCCAATCCCTGCTAACACTGCCCCTCCGCGCGAGTAGCATGACGTGTCCAGAATCAAAGGCGTGAGCATTCCCGGAGAGTGCATTCGGGTTTCGGGGTGTAATATGCAGGCCTTATGTTTTGCGGGGTTCCTTATTATAGCTATGTTACAAAGGGCCCCAAAGCCCTTTCTAATTATCAAGGGCTTTGAGAGCACCATACCCCTTCGTCTTAAGGAATCATAAGGTGTTGTAGTGTTTTACCAAGGGCTATACAATGGTTGTGTAGATGGTTGTCTAGGGCGTTTAAATACAAGGTGAATTGGAAGGTATATCCCTTCGTTAAGGGTGTACTCGGCATTCCTCCGCGCCAAGATGGAGAGCGGCGGCAACAAGCTTTCGGTGGAGGTGCTTTTATATACAATGGGTCTGCAGGACCAGTTGTATTTGTATTGGTTTGTCCCGGACACATCACTCCAATCAGCAGGGGTCTGACAGAGCTTCGGCGAAAAAATGTGGAGTTCTCGTCACAGACGGTGACAGACAACGATGCCAAAGAAGAGGGCGCAGGCAATGGATTGAGCAAAGAGAAAACCAAAGGGAAAAAGGAGGGACCCTTAATGGGGACCCCTACCCTATAATGGGCCATATAATGGGTATATAATAGCTAAGTTTTGGGGAATGTATCTAGGGGTCCTTATTAAGGGTCCCTCCTTTTACCCTTGGAGAAAACGTGCACGGCTGTCTGCAAACGACTTCTGTCCCACAAGAACTTGGAAAACACATGGGACTTAGGTACTGCCCCCATACAGTAAGAGTCGATAATAGGGCTACTATTAAGGTCCTAATATATCATCACCCTAAACCTAAACCCGGAACCCTAAAACCCTATAGATGCCTTAAAGGAACCCCTTAAAGGTATACCCTTATAGATCCCTTTTAAAGGAACTACTATGAATATTATTCAAAGGAGCTCAGGGAGCAGATCCTGCGGGCCGAGGAAAGGTGGCACAACGGTGGATGATAGAAATACCGTAAAGGGTACTGCTGGTGATAGAAATCCTGGGGTCCTTTTTAAGGGATCTATAAGGGTATACCTTTAAGGGGTTCCTGTAAGGCATCTATAGGGGGCTTAGGGTTGATGATATAAATCCTGCATTACCTTAAGGACCCTAAACTATGGGAATTATGGTATATTCCTTATTATGGGTCATGCAGGATTTATATCATCAGCCGAAGTAGCATTCTCGAGCCCAAGCTGCTGACATAGCGAACGGGGGAACTTTAAGCTTTTGGGCCTTATGTATTAGCTCTATCTTAGAAAGTTAGAACTTTTTGGGGCCCGGTTGTTGAAGAAGAGAAGCTACTAGAAGAGCATCAATGAGCCTAGGAGGTACGTGCTGGGGGCTGAGGAAAGGCAGCCAAACCCTAAGCCCTAAGCCGGAAACTCTAAACCCCTAAACCCTAAGCCGGAAACCCTAAACCCCTAAGCCCTAAACCCCTAAGCCATGCCAGGAGTTCTTAAAGAAACCATTTGTGGTCGGCAGTAGTAGCAGAAACTCCGCATAACATAGGGGCCCAGATACTTACCAAGACTATTGTGGGGGTTCCTCATTATAGTTATAGTATCAGGGGCCCTAAAACCCTATTCTAATTATTAAGGCCCCTACGTTCATGATAACTATCATAGAGAGAATAGGACGGCTTACTATTGCAGCTACTGGTGATCAAGCTCCGAACCCTGAGCCCTAAGCCCTAAACCCTGAGCCCGAAGCCCAAAACACCAAACCCTGAACCCAAAGCCAGGTAGTCAAGGAGCCTACACCTAAACCCTCAACCTGAAACCGCAGACCCAATCTCAGGTACACCAAAGATTCCCCGTTATGGTATCTGAAATTTATTTTTATTATTATTATTAGGGTTTTTAGGGTTTAGGGTTTAGGGTTTAATTTCTTCAGCAAAGAACGCGGAAACTCAGGTATTCAGTGATCCTCACCCTTCTGGCTGGGCCTATCCTGCGGCTGCATCTCACTTTCGTCTCGAGGAGCTCTTCTACGGTAGGGTTTAGGGGTCCTTTAAAAGGATCTATTCGGGTTTGTCTAAACGGATCCATAAGGGTTCCTTTAACGGGATCTATAGGGGAATAGGGTTTAGGGTTATCCGTTACAGGTTCTTTGGTTTCCGGGATTGTTGTGTCCGGCTTTTGGTTTAGGGTTTTGTAATTACAGGTTTCTTTTTGTCTACTATAGGGGCCTAAATCATTACCAGTATTAGTCCTTAGGGTTGGTTATTATAATCATACCACAATGGAGCCCGAAACTCTAATCTAATCATTAAGGCCCCTGTACTACATGGGTGGTGGTCAAAATTAGGATCCCTTTTTAAATTTTTGGGTCCCTAATATAGTACGGCACCTATTATTTAGGGTACCCCAAAAGGGGCCATGCTTTTGACAACCACCCATATCGCTCCCTATAGGGTTCCTTGTAAAGGGATCTATAAGGGTCCCTTTCAAGGGATCTATACAATGAGGGTTTTGGGGCCATGCTTTCAGAGTGGCGATGAGTGCTTTGCTACTGCAGGAGTCGGGCTGTGAGGCCCATCATTATAGGGTCCTTAAGGGAGGGTGGTTCAAGGGGGGAGGGTACAAGGGATGCTTAGGGAACCTGAAGGGACACTGGAGAGAACTAGGGATTAGTAGGTTACCTACCCCCCTTGGAGCCCCCTCCCATAAGGATACTATAACATCAAGACTGACTCCTCCATCCAGAGAATGTAGGGGCCTTCACAGTTAGAGTAGGGGTTCTTTTAAAGGGGTCCTTTGAAGGGGGTCTATAATGGATCTATAGTTTAGTGTTCTATGACAGGAATGAGCTTGCCAACGATTACAAGCACAACCTCTTCTATGTGATGAGGGATGCGCCGCGCGGCTCGAGATTGAACCCGCAAACCCTGGGCCCAAAGCCGTGGACCCTTACACCCAAAACTATTTAAACACCCTAACCCTAAAACCTGAAACCTATCTTCTGAAATCGTGGGACCATTTCAGGGTGACCTGCTTATATAGGCCAAGCACATGTTCGGTGTCAAGTTTCAGGGCTTCGGGTTTAAGGTTTAGGGTTTCCCCAAACCCCAAACTCTACACCCTAAGCCCTACACCCTAAACCCTCCACCCTCAACCCTCAACCCTAGGCCTTTCGGGTCCGGGTTTAGGGTTTAGGATGCATGACGTTTGAGGGTTCGAGTTTCTTTGTTCAGGGCTTCAAGTTAAAGCGATGGTTTGGGTCTGCTTCTAAGCTGGAAATGCAGGGCTTAGGGTTTAGGCTGATGATGGTCGTCTTCTCACCGACTATGACGACATGGATGATGTTTACGATAGTGATACTGCTGATGATGAGGTTGTGCTGATGAGGGACTATGACCGGTTTGAGGGACTATGACCGGTTTCACGATGATGGGGGCGACGATAACACAGGTGTTCGAGGGTTTGATGGTGATTGCAATGATGATGCTGGTGGTGATGACACTGATGATGCCGAAGGTTGAGTGACTTGACTTTTCTCCCCAGGCCTCACATCTCCGCGCAGACATACCGCATGGCCACGAACTCGTGGCCAAAGCCCTAAATGCTAAGGACCGGCAAAGCCGTCCATGTAAACGAGTTGGAGGACGAGGAGTTCAACCTAGGCAGGGAAACCCTTAAACCCTAAGCCATGAACCCTAAACCCTCGACCCCACCCAAAGAACACCAAACCCTCATTCCGCTTGAAACCTGAAAGCCTTAACCCCAGCCTAAAACCCCAATCTCAAACACCAAACCTAAAGCCCCCCTAAACTCTGAACCCTAAGCCAAACCTAACCCCCGAGTAGTGCTTACCCTAAAACCTTAACCCTAAAACCTAAACCCCAAACCCACTAAACCCTAAGCTTACAGTAAACCTTGTGCGATCTCCGAGTTCTCTTTGGATGGTCTGGCCTTCGGGGTTTCGCCGATGGGTGGCGGAGAGCGGAGATAGGAGAGGGGTTTTCAGGTTTAGGGTTTAGGGTTTTATGTTTAGGGTTTAGGAGGGTCCAGGGTTTAGGGTTTCAGGTTTGTTGTTTGGGGGTTTAAGCTCTAGGGTGTTAAAGCAGACGGGTCCAGGGTTGAACTACTGTTCAGGGTCAATTTACACTTGCGGGGTTAGGATTCAGCGCAGATGGGAAAACACCGCACCACGAAGAACTATATCAGAGAAGTAGTTAGTATCGTTATAGCAAGGAACTCAAAGGAGCCGCATGACTTCTTCTGGACCCTTACTAAGTCTTTAGTATCTGAGAAGAGCATCAGAAATCGGTGGTGGACATGTTTGCGATAATAGGAGTTCACATAATAGCAGCAGCAGCAGCAGCAGCAGCAGCAGCAGCAGCAGCAGCAGCAGCATCATAGGAGTTGTAGCAACAGCAGTAGTTTTTGAAGGTGGTGACATTGAAAAATTCAACACGCAAGTGCTAGTGATTGCAGAAGCCTAAAACCGAAACCAGGCACCCACAACCCTAAACATTAATGGCATGGAGCAGGCCTGGACAACGACAAGTTTGAGTACGAGCCCTCCTTGTGCTTCGGATGATGTGCTGGGGTTGGGACTGCCCCTAAACCCTAGACCCGCTTTTCGCGTGTTTATTGGGATGTGCAGGCTTGGTATGGGCTTTCCAGAGTACCCTCGAGGGTCATTCGTGTTTAGGGCTTGGACGTGTAAGGCGTCGAGTTTAGGCGTTTACGGTTTGGGGTTTACTGTCTGGGCTTTCTGGAATACTCTAGAGGGTCCTTTGTGTCTACGGTTTGGGAATATCAGGTTTCGGACTAATCAGGGCTTTTGGTTTCTTTTTGAGGGCCCTTCAGGGTTTAGGGTGTAAGATTTGGGAATATGAGGTTACGAGCTCAGGCATCTGTGGTTTGAGGCTGCGCTTGTGGTTTGAGGGTGCGGAGTTTGGGTGAGGGGCTTCCTTCTTAGCTTCGTCGGTTTAGGGTTACCCTAAACCCTAAACCCTAAGCCTCTTAGGAACAGGAGATGGGGAGGGTGCTTCAGTGTAACAAACAGCACACTTGGGTGGTTCAGATGGTGCCCTAAACCCAGAACTTAGCCCTGACCCCTACGCCCTAAGCCCTAAAGACGTAGACCCTAACTCTAGACCCGAGGATCGTGGGACGTAGTAAATAGGGTAAAAAGTGCCTTACTTGGGCTTATAAGTACTTACGAGGAAAATCACCCTATCTATAACCGTAGTTTCGCTAGTTACTAAGTCCCCTGAACCTCCAAGTAGACCTTAAACCTTAAACCAAAGGGAACCCCATTACGGAACACTACAGTACCCTTGAAAAAAACCCTAAACCCTATGGTGGATGATATAAATCTTGCATTACTTTAAGGACCCTAAACTATGGGAATTATGGTAAATTTCCCTATTATGGGTAATGCAGGGTTTTTATCATCAATCCTAAACCCTGCACTCTAAACCCCCCATAGATCCCTGAAAGGAACCCCTTAAAGGTACCCTTATAGATCCCCTTAAAGGAACCCTAGGGTTTATATCATCAACCGTAGTTGCTAAGCCCCCAAAACCTTTAAGTAGAGACTTCAGGAGTTTAGATGCCGAGGCCTTGGGCGAACTTAAAGGTTCATGGGACTTAGTAACTAGGGTTATAAGGGGCTCCTTTCAAAGGTACTATAGGGCTTCCCTTTAAGGGTTTAGGGTTTACTTAACGGATCATGGGACTTAGTAACTAGGGTTATAGGGTAACCATACTGATGAGTACTTATAACCCCAATTAAGGTACTTATAACCTTACTTACTAAGTACCATGATCCTCTAAGTAGGGTTTGCGCGCGAAGCCCGGGTCTTAATTTCGTTGATTACCAGAACGAGGACAAGCCGTTTAGGGTTTTGGGTTTAGGGCTTAGGGTTTTATTAGGGGTTCAGGGGATGAGGGGTTCAGGGGATGAGGGGTTCAGGGTTTAGGGTTTTGTTTTGGGTTTAGAAGTTTGTTTTGGGTTTAGGGCTTAGGTGTGAGGCTATGGTTCAGCGCTCAGCGAACCCTAAACCGCTTAAACCCTGAAAGCCGTAAACCCGAAGAAGCCCCCCCAAGGAACGCCTTCGATCGCGGTTTGGCTACCAACTGCTGGAACTTCTGGTGCGTTGGGGCCTCGAAAACAATGAATCAAGGGTAGGACATTTTGCCAGCTTTCGCAGTTGTTTCGCTTTCAGGGGTGAGGGTTTAGGGTGTAGGGCTCTTCCGAGGGTTCGACAATTTCTCTTCCATTGCTTTACGGCTTTACAGCCGTTGCCGGTTCCCTCCCAAGAGCTTCAGATGTTCCGTGCTACGAAACTGGGGTCCGTAAAATCAGGTGTGGTTTGGGCATGAAGGAGTCCTTACCATAAGGTTTCTACTGACTAGGGTTCTACAGGATCCCTTATGAATTTCCGCAAGGGATTGTGGCATGAGCGGTGCTTAGGCTATCAGCGGGATATAATCGGATTGGGGCGTTGTTAGGAGCTCAGCCGCTGCCGTCTCGGTGTCATCAAGCACGTTTGCAGCACGAAGCCAGTTGCGTGGTGTGAACCTACGTTTGGAGGCAGAGGCGGCAAGTGGAAAAGGAGCAAAGGTCTGGGAAATGGACGGACGCAAGCAGCTGAAGCCTCAGCAGCGCTCGAGTCAGCTGCCCATGCCGCCGATCGGAGTTTGCTTCGAGTTTCATGTGCGGGTCACGGCAGCTCGGCATTCGGCTACCTGAGTGCTGTGCAGATGGCCTTGCAGTCCGTCTCTTCAGCCCTGTTCAGCTGGCCAGCATGGCACATCAGTATATTGAGGGCAGTTCTTGTTGTTGTGATGATCATTCCCGCTTTTGCCGGTGCGGGCCACAGTGGGAATGCACCGCGAGCGCCCTGACCCTAGACCCAATCAAAACACAACCTAAAAGTCCAAAAACTGAGCCCCGTCCCCGAAATCCTCGAGCCAAGACTTGACCCCGAGTATGCTGAGATAGAGGTCTGAATACTAAAGCACACGAGACCCTGGTCTAAGAATAGTCTAAGAATATTCTAACGAGGCCCCCTATCTAAGCTCTGTAAATCCTGCCAGAATCACTGCCAAACCCTCGTGGAATCGCAAGATTACTGCCCAACATACCGCTAAACTCTAGACCCTAAGGGTCCAAGTACCCAAATAGTAGGGTTGCAAGATCCAAAAACCATTCAGAGTATGGATTTTGGGACCTAAAACCCGACTATTTGGGTACTTCGGTTGATGATATAAATCCTGCATTACCTTAAGGACCCTAAACTATGGGAGTTATGGTATATTCCTTAGCGTGGGTACTGCAGGATTTATATCATCAACCGTTGGACCCTCTGGTCACACCCTGAGCCTGAAACCAAACCCTAAATACCAAGATGCCGCGGTGGCCGGCTAACCAGCTGGGCGAGTTCTGAGGGCTCTAAGCCTAGGAACTCCCTGGGGTTTTAGTATAGGGTCTTATTTCGGGTTTCCAAAGTTTTCCATAAGTCTGTAGGGTTCTTGTCGGGGTTCAAGATAATAAGCGGTCTAAATAATAATTTGCTGGATGTTTGGGGTACATGTTCTCTCATGATATGGGCCTTTCCGGGAATACTGATTAGCAAGCGTTCCGACCCGTCTATTACTGGGTTTTTGCACAGTTTCAAGAAGGGCTTTACACAGTTGTATAGTCCAGGCTAGTGTTGTGTTTTCATAGAGTGTGAGGACGAAATGGGGCCTGTTGGGTTTTGCACTTGAGGATGAGGAGGTCGAAACGAAGGTCTATGAGTAACCCTAAACCCTAAACCCTAAACGTTCAGCGTTGGGGAAGAACAGCTTTTGGATGTGATCTCGGCCTGAAGAACCGGTAGGATTCTACTGCCATACATGTGACATAACATATGGGCGTTTCCGAAAGTTAGGGGTACCTTATTTTGGGCCCGTAAAATACGGATCCTACTATTTGGGGTACTATATTATTGGGGTCCCCTACATATTGCCCTGCAACAGCAAGGGCTTCGGGTATATCTTCAGACTGTACAGTAACTGTTTACCCCGACCCCTCAGACACTAAGCTCAGAACCGTTCAGAAACTCTCCGATTGATTGAGATGCCGCTACGGGCGAGCCAGCCGCGGGCAACAAAAGGTTCTGTCTGCGCATCAAGACCCAGAACATCTCACCTGATGCCCTAACTGTTTAAGGTTGTGAGGCTGGGCTTGATAGCACAGTACTCCTCAACCCAAACCCGCCTACGTCCGGTGATTCGATGTTTGTGTTGTTCTCGAGGCACCGCTGTTTGCGATGTGGTGCTGTTACATCCGGAGCAATGTCAGTATCAGCGATAGGAAACAAGGCGTACAGCATTGGCAACAACTGGGTCCAAGGTCACGAAATGGGAAAGTTTCTGTTCACCAGAATGGGTTGCCAGGAGTTCGTGCACATGTCATAAACCGAAGTCCAGGTTCATTTGCATGAACTTATCCCTGTGCAGGGTTTTCGGCTTACCGTGTGTTACGGTGACTTTTTCTCTGCCGTGGGGTTTTGGTTTAAGGTTTAGGGTTTAGGGTTTAGGGTTTAGGGTTTAGGGTTTAGGGTTTAGGGTTTAGGGTTTAGGGTTTAGGGTTTAGGGTTTAGGGTTTAGGGATCTTGGCTTCCGTGGGAGTCTTGCGCTTGCCACCATGGGCGAAAGCCAGACGGGGCGCTTTCCTCGCGGCCGGCGCGGCACTCTGAGCCCGGGGCCCAGGGCACGTCAAGGATCATGGGAGTTCGTAAACTGGGGTCATAAGTAAGGTTTCTATACTTATAAACCCGAAACCCTAAACCATAAACACTTACAGCCCCAATTGAGGTGCTTATAACCTTACTTGCTAAGTCCAACGGTTCTGCAAGGAAAGCCTCAAGCTCGTAGGGTTTCAGGGTTCGAGGGTTTTATTGGGTGTCCATGGGTGTCGGGTTCAGGACGCTTCTGGGCAAAGCTTTTGGGCTTTCAGGGTTGCGAGTGTGAGGGTTCGCTGGTTCCTAAACCTTAAGGGGTTTTGAGGCTCCCACTCTGCAGTCATTCGGGGTGTTTCGGGCTGCAGTAGGAATAACGGGCTCCTCAGGAATCATTTTTCAGGTTTATCATAAGAGAAGCTATTAAGCGTACGAATTTCATTATGGCTGTGGGTTTCTTGGGCGTATCGATAGATCTACAACCGCAAGAAAGTCTAGGTTCCTGAGTAGTATATACCCTTTTGTCCTTTCTGCTTTTTGGGTTCAACTTATGAAAACCAGAAAACCACATAGTATGACAAAAAGGGTACCCTTATCATGAACAGCTTACTCAGAAAATTAGAATAAGTGCAATCAAAAGGACCTTTAGGGGGTAGGGGAGGGGGCCTTTATGTCCATAATAAGGACCTAATATGGTCCCCTACCCCCCTCCCTCCTACCACCCTAAGGGTCCCTATGATCCATCTCCTCCTAATCTGTCATCATCCACTCTGGCCCTGTGGGAGCTGCCAGGCCTGGAGACTCCAATATACCGGAATTAAGGAATATTCCATAGACCATACTAGGATCCCTGAGATGATTTAAGGAATATTCCATAGACCATATTAGGATCCCTGCTATGATTTAAGGAATATTCTTTAGACCATATTAGGATCCCTGATATGATTTAAGGAATATTCCTTAAACCATATTAGGATCCCTGAAATGAGGTCTGGCTCTGTTAGGTCTGGCAGTGCTTGTGACCCGAAACCCTAAACCCTAAACTCTCTCAACACTCTCTCTGTTGGGTCTGGCTCTGCTCTAAACCCGAAACCCTAAACCCTAAATCCTAAACCCGAAACCCTAAACCCTGAACTCTCTCAGCACTCGCCTATATCTAAGGTTAGAAGTGTGGGCCCCCCAATATGGACCCTTAGGCCTTTTTGAGGGAGTTCTAGGGACCCTTAAGAGTCTATATAGGGTATATAGTAGGTAGCCTAGAGCTAGGTCTGGCTCTGCTTGTCGCCGTGGCTCTGGCGGCCGTTTGGCTGTCGCCGGGGAGCGCAGGCTGGCTTTTGGGTTTAGGCTTTAGGGTTTACAGCTTAGGGTTTCAGGTTTAGGCTTTGAATTTAGGGCTTAGGGTTAAGGGCTTAGGGTTTTAGGGTTTTAGGGTTTTAGGGTTTAAGGTTCAGGCTTTAGGCTTTAGGGTTTTAGGGTTTTAGGGTTTTAGGGGTCCGGTCCGGGTTTAGGGTTTACGGCTTGGGGCTTACGGTTTTAGGGTATTTTAGGCTCCGGGTTTAGGGTTTAGCGGTCAGGGTTTAGGGCTTAGGGTTTAGGGCTTAGGGTTTTGGGGTTTAAGGTTGAAACTCAGGCTTTACGGTTTTTTAGGGCTTAGGGCTTAGGGTTTAGGGCTTAGGGTTTAGGGCTTAGGGTTTAGGGCTTAGGGTTTAGGGCTTAGGTCTTGGAGTTTATGGCTTAGGGGTTTCAGGGTTTAGGATTTACGGCTTGCTCCGGAGCGTTTATGGGCATGTTCTGTTTTTTGGGTTTAGGGTTTAGGGTCTAGGGTTTAGGGTTTAGGGGCATGTTCTTTGTTGTCTTCTGTTTTTATCGTCCAGGGCTCTCGGGTTTATCCGAATCTGGTGTAGGCCCTAAACCGTCAGCCCCCAGAGACTCCAAAGGAATACCCAGGGTTCCTTTAAGGGATCTATAGGGTTTAGGGTTTAGGGGACTCCAATATCCCTTAATTGAGGAATATACCTTAAGTTATAGTAGGATCCATAGTAGGATTTAAGGGATAGTCTGTCTGATAGTCCTTAATTCAAGGATATTGAAGTCTGAACCCTTGACTCTCTTGTTTGGGAGTGTCGCCGTTAACCAGGTAGGCCTTTGGGACATTATGTCCTTTCCCTTAGTCCTTTGTTGGGCCGGCGAGGATCAAAGGGCCTACCTAGTTGAGGGGTTCGTTGGTGTATCGTAACCCGGCCGTGAACATAAGAGCAAATCCGGCTGGGGATCCTTTTTTTCAGTTGTATAACTGGATACCCCAAACGTGAGCCCCATGGTTTGAATGCGAAGAACGGAAGCCGCAAGCCCCAGAGCCTATAGCCCTGATCCGTGCCGGTCCAGAGCGCTCAGGGTTTGGAGTTTTGTAAGGGGTTAGGGTTTAGGTTTTAGGGTGTGGGCCCCCCGTGACGTGCTAAGTGACCAGTGGCCCGCAGCCCGAAGCAGGCTTAGACATGGTTGATTCCAAGAGCGTTCATGCTATACCACCTGAGCAGTACCCCGTTTGGCATGGGTGCCTGACAGAACTACGACCTCTTCATGCTACATATGCGCTCTAAGCAATCATAGTGTATACCCTATATATATATATATATATACATATATATATATATATAGAGCGTAGGTGCAGTGTAAACCGAGCATCCAGACCTTGTGCCTTGGCCGGTGCACGACATGTCGATTACCGTGGATGTTGGACTCCTCAGTGGCAGGACAGCTTCTGTGCAAGCAGACTTGGATGAAGAGGTGGGTGCTCTACTAGTGCGAGCACAGTCTAAGCTCGGAGTCGGCAGAGGGCGCTTGGTGGACTCGTCTGGAAGCGTTCTGGATGCATGCTCAACGATCCGGGACTCTATGCTTGAAAATGGTAGCGCACTGACTTTGCATATACAGAGAGTTCAACTTCAAGGCTCCGGCGAAGCATTCTGTGCCGTCCTCGGCGATGGATCGGTCGCGACCTGGGGTAGTGCTGGCAAAGGCGGTGACAGCAGTGCTGTGCAGGATCGGCTAAAGAATGTGCAACGGGTCCAAGCCAATCGCTTCGCTTTTGCCGCAATTCTTGGGGACGGATCCGTCGTGACCTGGGGTGACGCTGTACGCGGCGGTGACAGTAGCTCAGTGCAGGAAAAGCTGAACGATGTGCAGCAGGTCCAAGCCTCTTTCAGCGCTTTTGCTGTCGTCCTTGGTGATGGATCGGTCGTGACCTGGGGTGATGCTGAGAATGGGGGTGACAGTAGAGCTGTCCAGGATCGACTGAAGAATGTGAAGCAGATCCAAGCCTCTTACCGCGCTTTCGCTGCCATTGTTGATGATGGATCAGTTGTGACCTGGGGTGCGGCTCGCTATGGGGGTGACAGCAGTGCGGTGCAAGATCAGCTGAAGAATGCGCCCTATCTCCAAGCCTCTGCAGGGGCTTTTGCGGCCGTTCTCAGTGACGCAACCGTCGTAACCTGGGGTCGGATCCACGACGGAGGTGACAGTAGTTCCGTGCAGGATCAGCTTCGAGATGTGCGGCAGATCCAGGCGACTTTTAGCGCGTTTGCGGCCATCGTTGGTGACGGATCTGTGGTGACGTGGGGTGATGATGACTATGGTGGCGACTGTAGTGCCGTGCAGCATCAGCTGAAGAATGTGAAGCAGATCCAGGCCTCGAATTGCGCCTTTGCTGCCGTTCTTGGCGACGGATCGGTCGTGACCTGGGGTGATGCTGACAAAGGTGGTGACAGCAATGCTGTGCTGGCTCAATTAAAAGACGTGCAGCAGATCCAAGCCTCAGGCAGAGCTTTTGCCGCCATTCTCGGCGATGGATCTGTCGTGACCTGGGGTGAGCCGGACGATGGTGGTGACAGCACTGCTGTGCAGGATCAGCTCAAGAATGTGCAACAAATCCAATCCTCCAAATTCGCGTTCGCTGCCATTCGTGAGGATGGATCCATCGTGACATGGGGGAACAAGTCTCTTTGTCATAGTTGGGTAACATTTTACATTTTTCTTGGTACTTAAACCCAATCAGGAATTAAAAATCAATTTTTAATCCTATCCCAACCATGAACCAGGTCTTGTGGTGGCGACAGCACCGCCCTTCAGGATCTGCTCCATCCTAGCAGCGAGCAGGAGCTGGTTGTTGCTGCCGGAGCTGATCAGCCCGCCGATGACACGGTTTAGGGGTTTAGGGTTTAGGGAGAGTGCATAGCAGAGCCTCTACTTTTCGATCTCTTGGCTTTGTTGGTTGCAGTTTTCGAGTGAAACGAGCCTCCTCGCAGCAGCTGCGGGTACATAAAAGCTCCTATCATTACCGGTGTTGCTCCTTAGGGTCCCTTATTATAGCTGTAGTATCGTATACCACAAAACCCTATTATACATTAGTATGGTATACCCCCCCAAGACCCTATTCTAGATTATTACAATGTACCCCAAACCCTCTTAGACATTAGTACCTTATACCCCCAAATGGGCCCCCAAAACCCTATCATAGATTAGTACAGTATACCCCCCTCCCCCAAAACCCCATTATAGATTACTGCAGTATTCCGTATTCCCCAAACCCCCTCTTTTTAAATATTATATAAGGCCCCTAAACCCGAAACCCTATGTTCCAATTTGCTGTGATCGCCTTGGAAATCATGCGAGTCTGGCGTCAGATTCTGGGCCCGGGGAACTGGCATGGGGCTGGGGGCTTAGTAAGGGTTCTTACAGGGCTCCTTAAAGGGATCTATAGGGTCCTTAAAAGGGGTCTATGGGGTTTAGGGTTTAGGGTCTACTTGGAGGGGCAGGAAACTTAGTAGGTTATAAGTAGTGTTATAAGTACCCTAAATGGAGTTACCCCAATTATGACCCTACTTATAAACGACTTACTAAGTCCCCTGCCCCTCCAAGTCGGGTTCCTTACTATAATTACAGCATAACCCAAGTACCCTCTAATGGAGGTCTTATGGCCCCTAATAGTGGGTATTTAGGGTAGAATCAGGTGTAGTTGGGGGGTATAGTATGCTTGTATGAGGACTGGTTTAGGGTATAAGGCTTGAAAGGGTTGGAGCTTAGGCTTAAATTATCGTGGTTGAGGGTTCAGAGGTTCAGGGTTTCGGGTTTAAACCCTCATAACCCTTATAATATATAACCCTAAACCCTAAACCGTAATTTTCTCCCTTTATGATACCTTGAAAAAGAAGCCACTTTGGCTCTCTGAGCCTCGTAGGCGAAGCTGACACCTTCGTCCGCGGCCCTGTCGATTTGGGTGCACAGCAACTTGGCGCTGACTTAGGGTTCAGGTTTAGGGTTTAGGGTTGGGGGTTTAAGGTTTAGGGTTTGGGGTTTAAGGTTTAGGGTTTAGGGTTTAAGGTTTAGGGTTTGGGGTTTAGGGGAAGGGGCCGCGGAGGCAGGGGTGGCGGGAGGGCAAAAACAAGGGGCACAAGGGGCAAGGGCAGGGCCAGGGGGATCTATTATAGGGCTAGGTGCCATTGATTCGGGCAGCGTCCGATTAATTTTTAAGCAGGCCCCTTACTTAAGGAACGCCCTTTATATTCTGAAGGGCTCCGTTTCCATAATTTAAACTTTCAATGCCAACGGGAGAACTTTAAGCTTTTTGGCCTTTCATATTTGGTCTATCTTTGAAAGTTCAATTTCTTGGGGCCCGGTTATGGAAGAAGAGAGCACAATAAATTAGGTCAACGTCTCGGCTCGCTTATGCCAATCCTGTTCAACGGTCTTGCCTAGTCTGGCGATAGGTTGCTTCAGTTTCCACTCTCACAAGCACCTGAAGAACTTGCAGAACTGGTGGTAAGAAGATCGATGGCCTCAGTAGGCTCCCAGCGAGATCGTCGTTCGTACCGCCAGCCCTAAGAGATTCAGTGATACTTGGAGGTTCAAGGGACTTAGTAACCAGAGTTATAAATAAGGTAACTATACTTATAATTGCTTTCAACCCCAGTTAAGGTCCTTCGGTTGATGATATAAATCCTGCACGACCCATAATAAGGAATATACCATAATTCCCATAGTTTAGGGTTCTTAAGGTAGTGCAGGATTTTTTTATATCATCAACCGTTATAACTGTACTTACTAAGTCCCATGAACCTCCAAGTAGACCCTAAACCCTAAACCCTATAGATCCCTTTAAGGAACCCTATAGATCCCTTTAAGGAGCCCTTTAAGGAGCCCTTCAAGTACTTACTCTAAGTCCCATGAACCTCCAAGTCGGGCTTTCTGGGGATCCATGCTCCGACTGAATATCCCCGCCCCTAAAGGAACTCCAGAAAGTTGGAATATGATGGGTTTTCGGGCTCCTTAAAGGGCTCCTTAAAGGGATCTATAGGGGTTCCTTAAAGGCATGTATAGGGTTTAGGGTTTAGGGTCTACTTAGAACTCCAGAAAGTTGGAATATGGTTTCAGACGAGGGTAGGATACCCTATAATTTACCATAAAGGGTTTAAGATAATCATATTCCAACTTTCTGGCTTTTACTATGGTCTTTGCTGTTTTCAGGGTTTAGGTTTCATTCTCATTGCAACAAAACTTCGACGGACTCTTATACATCTTTTTCTACTCTCTTCGAAAGGGCGCTGAAGGCAGTAGTTATCCCGGTAGGAAGGCCATTGCAGAATAACATGGCGATCCTCACACAGAGGCTCGTTAAAGAAAGATGACAGAACAGCGATCTTACGCTAAACCCCATAAGCCCATATCCCTAAACCCTGAACCCTAAAGGCTAAACCCTAAGCCCGAAGCCCGAATGCGCTCAACGACTGATCCTAGGGATCCTCGTCTAGAGACCCTTGCAGATGCGATGTTGATCAGGGGTCTGCAGTAAGGTTGCAGGGTTTTTGCGTTTCTAAGCCGGTGGCAGTACGGCTTTCTTTTTCTTCTTTGCAGTAGGGTTGAGGCTCATGGGTAGTTGTAAGTGAGCTTATAGGTTTTATATGAGTGTCTCCACACTGCTTGTCCCGGCAATGTACTCCACAGCATTGCCAACAGCAAGAATGAGTAGCGCGACGGAAGCACCGGTTTCATGGTTAAAAAACATCTGTGCAAAACGGAGCCTCTTTTCAGGTCGCGGAGCCCATCCCTGGCGGCCGGCGCCAGCCAGGAGGACAGCGAAGCGGCCCTGAGGCGGGTGAGGGTGGGGTTGAAGGGTTTGGGGTTTAAGGGTTGGGGTTTCAGGTTTCGGGGTTTAGGGAAGCAAAGCCAGGCCGCTCGCACCGTGTGTTGCAGGCAGCCAAGAATAACTTGAGTTCAAACACTGTAGAGTTTAGTCCGTACCTGAATCTAACCGGAGCCTACTTGTTGTAGGGTCCCTATAAACTCCTGATTAGGGTTTATAATAAGGAGCTGCAAAAAAGTTGGTTTTGGTAGTTTAAGGTAACGTTATGACGTCGTCAAGGCATCCCAGCCGGAACTCGCCTTAAGACTAGACAGGGTTTACTTTCTGTCCAGTCCGAAAGGTCCCTCAACCCCAAAACCATACACCCTATAAACCGTTGTCACCCGGCTTCTGTGTCCGCGTTCTTCTCTGCTCGCGAAGCTCGGGCCACTTGGTCTCCGCATGGCGGTTGTTCGAGAACTCGGCGAAGACTTTAGGGTTTAGGGTTGTCAAGGGGTTTAGATTTCGGTTGGGAGTGTATTCGACTGTGTGTGTAGGGTTTCGATGGAAATTTTACTCATAATCATACAGAGTCTATCTTAAACCCCCCTTCAAAAACCCTATAGACAGCACCATCGAGTCCAACTGAAGTGCTAGACAACCTTGAAAACTACCATAAGCCTCAATTGGCCTTAACCACTATGCTCCCTAACCAGAACAGCCTCAACCGCAAACCGCGTTTCAAAATCCTTATGAAACTTGCAAAGAGCCGTTCTGGAGTAAAGTCCTCTTCACCTTAAGCCCTATACGGGCCCCCACACCCCTCGTACACCCAGCAAAAAAAACCCAATAAACCCCGCCCAGCCCTGCAAAACCCTCCGCGAACCCCGTAAACAAGCCTGTTCGCCCTCCACACGTCGCAAACCATTGGTTTAGGGTTTAGGGTTTAGGGGTTTAGGGGTTTAGGGGTTTAGGGTTTGGGGGTTTAGGGGTTTAGGGGTTTCGGGTCTAGGTTTTAGGGGTTTCTACTACCCTTTAAGGAGTAACCCGAAGCCCTACAAAGGCTCCTTAGCCCTTCACATCCTCCTGAGTGCCAGGGAGCGCGTTGCGCAGCTGGAGAGGAAGCTGGCGGAGAAGCTCATGGACCCTCCCGCGGAGCCGGAGGAGAGAGGTTTACTTGGAGGTTCATGGGACTTAGTAACTATGGTTATAAACAAGGTAACTATACTTATAACTAGTTATAACCCTAGTTAAGGTACTTATAACTGTAGTTCCTAAGTCCCATGAACCTCCAAGTAGGGTTTAGGGTTTAGGATCAGTGTTTAGAGTTCAGGGTTTGAGGTTTTAGGGGTAAGGGTCCAGGGTTTTGGACCAATTGGAGATGGCATTATAGGGTATTTCACATTTTCCCTTATTGTGTTGGGCTTCATCAAGAGGATCTGTTTCAAGAATAGTTTTCAGAGGCTTCAACGGGCCAACTTGTTTAGGTTCTGAGGTTTAAGGTTTAGAGTTCAGGCTTTGAGGTTTAGGCTGTTAGGGTTTTAGAAATCGCATCAGGGTTTCAGGGCTTTTAGGGTTGTGGCGTTTCGAGCTTTTCTTTCGTTTCTTCTTTTCTTTCGGGTTTTATGGTTAAGAGTTGGGTGTTTCAAGGGCTTTCCGAGGGTCAGGGTTTCCCAGAGACTCCAATATCCCTTAATGAAGGAATATACCTTAAATCATATAAGGGATCCTACTATAATTTAAAGTATATTCCTTAATTCAGGGATACTGGAGTCTCTGGGTTTGGGGGAGGTTTCTGAAACCCCGGAACCCTGAAGCGCCTAATACCTTACAAGGAGCCATACAGCCCAACAGCCCAAACCATCACGGACCCCAAATTCCTCAAATCCCTGTAGAACTCCTAATAGAATTCTTAGAACCGAACCCTTAGAAGCGTTTAGAAGAAGCAATGAAAGCCTTTATGAAACTTTTAAAACATAGAGCCCAGATGCCACATTTGCAGAATGTGCAGAACCCTTGCAGAATCCCTATACAAGCCTTGTAGAATCATTTAAAAACTCATACGGAACCCCTTGTGGAACCCTTATAGAACTTCTAGAGAACCCAGGTAGAACCCTTGTAGGACCGTTATAGAATGCTTATAGAACCCGTATAAGAATCCTTACAGAACCCTGGTCGAACGCTGGTAGCACCGCGATAGAATCCTAAATAGAACCCCGGTAGAACCCTTGTAGAACCCTCAGAGAATCCTTATCCTTACAGAACCCTGGTTCAGTAGAACCCTTGTAGAACCCCTGTAGAACCCTGTAGATCCCTGGTAGAATCAATCCTTACAGAATCCTGATAGAACCTTGGTAGAACCAATGTAGAAGTCTTACAGAAGCCAAGAACCCGAGCCACTGCGAGGAGCAGCCGCCCTCGATTCTCCAACCTCTGCCGCTCAGCTCACGTCGCCGTTTGGGGTTCCTTAAACCCGAAACCCTGAACCCTAAACCCTAAACCCTGAACCCTGAACCCTAATTCCTGAACCCTAAACCCTAAACCCTAAACGCATCAAGCAAAAACATCCCTAAAACCCTAAAGCTCTAAGCCCCGAGGATTCCTTTAAGGGTTCTAGGATCAGAGTTCAGGGTCAAGGGCTTTGGGCTTTTATGCGTTTGGGGGTTAGGGTTTAGGGGTTTAGGGGTTTAGGGTTTGGGGTTTGGGGTTTAGGGTTTAGGGTTTAGGGTTTAGGGTTTAGGGTTTAGGGTTCAGGTAAGCATCAGGCTTTTGGTTCCGTAGGTTGTAAGTTCAGGGTGTGGGGTTCATACTATGCCCCGAAGCCTTATTCTAATTATAGACGTCCCTGGGTCATAGAACCCTATTGATAGTTCCATATTGAGCCTTGGTTATAGAACCCTTATGACACTTCTTATTATGGATCCGTTGGAAAACCCCGGTTGCAGATCTGTTATAGAGCCCTTGCAGGATCGTATCCATTTGCCTGAGATGCCAATATGCCGGGCTCTTGCTTGTGGTTTGTTTGTCAAGTTCTCGCAATTTCTTTCAATCCAAACTCTGAACCATAAGCCCAAGACATGGAATCCATGATCCAAAACTGCATATTACTGCAGTATCGTAGGTTTCTACACTTACAGGTTTGAGGCGTGCTTGAGAATCCATCTTCAAACATACGCGAGGTGGCAGGTACCCTGAGTTGGGTCTTTCAGCCATATTTAGGGTGTAGGTTTCACTCTAACCCTTTCCTACGCCCTCAGCACTGAAACCTAAAGCTTAAATAATTCTAAACCCCAAACCCTTGAACCCCTAAGCCTTAAGCCTTAAACCCTAAACCGCAGACCTCTAAGAGCTACAGGAAATGGGTTTAGTTGGAAACCTGCAGCGACAAGGATCGACCAGGCGGTGCAGGAGGTGCCGGAATTGCAGCAGGTGGGACGGGGGTCTGGGGCTTAGTGACTGGGGTTCAGGGTGTAGGGACTGGAGTTTCAAGGTAAGCCTGGAGCCTTAAACAGGGTTCCTTCAATCCTTCCAGGGCTACGAAAGTAGCGCTAGTTAATGAATTTAGTACAAGGGTCGGAATGAGTAGTAGAATTATTCCGGAGGCTTCCTTACTCCACCATTGGGCCTTTATATCGGTGGCTCCCGTTCCAGCTCCCGTGCCTGGAGCTGGTCCACGGGGAGCAGGAGGGGCTGGCGGGTGGACCAGGTGGAGGACATGGCAGGCAGCACAGCCGCTATGCCATCGTCGACATGTCTTGCACCGTCGTCGCTATGAGCCGCGCTACAACCGAAGTCGCAGTCGTGATGATGAACTCAACCTGGTGAAGGAGGTGCACATGAGCATGGTGAATGATGAGGGAGCTGAGTTGCGTGACTTCTGAGAGGGTTTTTTTTTTTTTCAGTGTACACTCGTCAAGAGTGAGCTGGACGTTCTGGCTTCTGTAGTTCGAAAGGCCCATTGCACAAAAAAAGAACCCCAAAGCCCCTACCCCGCCCGAGTACTGTATGCCCTGAGATCTAATCTGAGCCTCAAGGCCAGACTCCTAGGCAGCAGCGGCCTTCCCCACACATCGAAGCCCAAATCCTAAAAACAAGCTAAGAGAAACGATTGGAGTGTTCTTCGGCTTTACTTGAACCCTTCAGAACCTATCATAGCATCTGCTTTTACTGGGTTTCCAGGGTGCACGTAGGGTTTTGCGACAGGTGGAGGACGCACGGATGGGAATGACGGAAGACAAGATGCATCCTGCCGGCAATGGCCCGGGGTGTCGGGTTGACTGCTCCCCATCATTCTCTCTCGCACATGCCGTATTTGCGGATGCTATTTCATTGGTCTGGTTTCGAACACCCTTCTGCTTTTCCTTCAAAGGACTTCAATTGAACACGCCACCATCTCTCTCTCTCTCTCTCTCTCTCTTCTGTCTCGCTCTTCCTTCCTGTCTTCAGCGATCGCATGGAAAGCCCAAATTCCAGTCTAGTTACTTAGGCCTCCATATTCAACCCTATGTAGGCATCTACAGCCCTTGTTTAGTACGCTACAAAATTCCTAATCAGAAACGGTTCTAGCAACCTATAAAATTCCTACAGAGCCGTACAAGCCCGAATGTTAGGGGTGTATAGGAGAGGATCGGGGGGGTTCTGAGGGTTTAGGGCTTAGCGAGGCTCGAGTATTTCCGAGTTAACGTCAGTTAACCCAAATCAGCGATAGCCTTTATAGACCTTATGGAGCTCTTACGAAAGCCAAGTCGTCAGTCTCATAGAGCCCGAAAGCCATGGTAAAGCCCTTATAGGACCCATCCAAAAAACGAAAATTGGTACACAAACCCTACAAACACTAAATACACAAAAAAGCTTTAAAGCAATGAAGATAGCATAACAAGCCTAGGAACACTACAAACACCCCATAAACACCACAAGATCTCTCTAAAACGTACACCCCTCAACCCCAAACCCTAAACCCCAATCGCGAAGCCCTAAACCCCTAGACCCAAAGCCCGACACCCGAAACCCTAAAACCCTGAACACCTAAAGGGAACTCCAGCAAGTTGGAATATGGAATAATGGCAGGATCCCCTATATCTTACCTTAAAGGGACGATGATAATGATATTCCAACTTTCTGGCTTCTACTGTAAACCCACCTAAACAACCCTAAACCCCTAAACCCTATAGATCCCTTCAAAAGGACCCTTATAGATCCCTTTAAAAGGAACCCCCATACATCCCTTTAAAGGGAACCCTAACCCCTAAACCCCTGATCCGCCAAAGCAGAGACGATGGCAACCCTCAAAGAGAAGGCTTTGAAGAGCTTCCCAGAGCCTCCAAAACCCGGTTTAGGGTTTAGGGGGTTTAGGGTTTAGGGTTTAGGGTTTAGGGTTTAGGGTATTAGGGAATACACCTCAAATCATATAAGGGATCCTATTATAATTTAAGGTATACTCCTTAATTAAGGGGTGTTGGAGGCTCTGGGTTGCAAGAGAAGCTCAGATTCTTCGGATGTCGCATAAGACTCCAGCAAGCCATATGGGAGTTAGGGAAACTAGGGGACCCTAAAACAGTACCACCCAATAGTAGGATCCTCATTTTAGGTACCCCCAAATCAGGTACCCCTAATGCCCGGAAGCTCCCATATGAAGACCCGGGAACCCTAAAGCCTAAAGCCTCAAGCCAAGCCTAAACCTTAAAGCCTAGACACCAAATCCCTAAACCCTACAGCCTAAACCCCAAAAACCCTAAAGCCTAAACCCCAAAACCCGCCTAAACCCCAAACCCTAAAGCCTAAACCCCGAAACCCTAAAGTTCAAACCCCTAAACCCTAAAGCCCAAACCCCAAACCCTAAACCCTAAACCCTAAAGCATACACCCCTAAACCCTAAATCCCAGACCCCCGGGGAGGATCTGGAAAGTAGATCGCCTAATTTGGGGCCTGATACTACTAAGGGTACTTTACAGGAACCCCCGTTAAGGGATCTACTTTTTGGATCCTCCCGGGGGTCTGGGACCGAGGTATGTCTTCGAGATGGGTAACAAGTCCAAGAAGCAGGCAATCTACCGGCGCAAGTATGAGGCAGATGTGGGGTTTCAGGCTTCCCAGAGACTCCCCTTCAAAGGGATCGATAAGGGTTCCTTCAAGGGGTCTATAAGGGATCTGTAGGGTTTAGGGTTCAAGGGACTCCAAAACCGAAACCCCTTGATTCAGGAGTAGACTTTATTTAAATCATAGTAGGGATCCTACTGTAATTTAGGATTTATTCCTGAGTTAAGGAATATTGGAGTCGCCGGGTTTCGGTGCTAAGTTCAGGGTTTAGGGTTTAGGGGCGAATATAAGGGTTCTACAATCGTAGGGTTTAGGCAGTTTAGGGTTAAGGGCTTCGGGTGTTCGGCATTTTTGGTTTAGAGTCCAGGGTTTCAGAGTTGAGGGTTTACGGTTTAAGGAACCCTTGAAGTGTTCCTTTCGGTGCTGTTTAAAAGGGTTTCTTTAACGTTTCTTGTAAGGCTTCCTTTAAGGGTTCGATCAGAGGCACTGCGCGGTTTAGGCTTCAGGGAACTTAGAGGTCTGTGCCCTTATAGAACCTCATTGCAAAACATCAAGAATCAAGGTTTCTTGATTAAAACCCTAAACCCTAAACCTTAAGCCCTCGGTTTTGCGGTTTGGGGTTTAGGACAGTGGGGCTGCAGGGCGTTAGGCGCTTTTGTCACAGGGCGGGAGCTTTCTCGGAAACATGTTCAGTAGCACAACAAACAGAAACCAAGGCATGGTTGCACACAATGCCAAGTGTTCATGTGTCTCCGATCGGGTGATGGCCTGGGAGGGGTGAGAACCTAGGCTGAAGTCCGATCATCCGAATGCTTCAAAAAAGAGGGTGTTCGTAGCAAAGCTTGCAGAGTCGGCTCGTGGACGAGAGTGGCCCCGCACGGCATGTGAAGGAACAGTTGTTCATGTTTGTGTTTGTGTGCCCGCAGCTGAAGTGCAGCTAAGGCATGTGACCTCATGTTGCATGAACAAACAGTGCAGGCTACGCCGAGACCGTCTTGAGGACTCAGATGGCATCTGCAGAGACGTGGTTTTGATCCGGGTGGACCAAGATCCCGAGGTCATCGTCTTCGGGGACGCACAGGAAGGGCCACGCTATCTCGGGATTTGGAGGTGAAACAACAGCCACAGCCCCTCCAGACCATGCAATCTTTGACGGAGGATAATCTAGGCCCCGCAGGTTTCAGGCAAACCCAAAAGAACCCTAAACCCTAAACCCTACTTGGAGGGGCAGGGGACTTAGTAAGTAGGTTACAAGTAGGGTTACAATTGGGGTAACTCCATTTAGGGTACTTATAACTCTACTTATAACCTACTTACTAAGTTTCCTGCCCCTCCAAGTAACCTAAACCCTAAACCCTAAACCCTAAACCCTAAACCCTAAACCCTAAGCTCCTTAACCCGGAAGCGCTTCAGGCTCCAGCCTCTAAGCCAGAAGCCCGAGCCCCCTAAGCCCTGAAGCCCCCAAGCACTAAAGCGCTAGAGACCCAGCAAGCAGCCCAGAATGCTGAAGCTCGTGCGCCCTAGGCCCTAAATCCTTCTAGACCCTCCATAGGATCCTTATAGAAGCCCTAAGCCCTAAATCCTAAACCCTAAACCGTTACAGAGCACTGATAGAAGCCTTATGAATAATCCCGAATAGAAGCCTTAGGCTACCTCATGCCCTAAATCCTTCAAGACCTTCCATAGGATCCCTATAGAAGCCTTACAAGGCACTTACCGAATCGAAGCCTTAGACTACCCCATGCCTGACCTCCCTTTCGAGGTGCTGGGCATGGTCCTGACACAGCAGGAGGCCTTTACGAAGGCAAGGTCTGTGAGGGGAATTTTGGGGGCCTACTTGGAAGGGCAGGGGACTTAGTAAGGGTTCTTACAGGGCTCCTTAAAGGGATCTATAGGGTTCCTTAGGTTCCTTAAAGGGATCTATGGGGTTTAGGGTTTAGGGTCTACTTGGAAGGGCAGGGGACTTAGTAAGTAGGTTATAAGTAGAGTTCTAAGTACCCTCAATGGAGTTACCCCAATTATAACCCTACTTATAAGCTACTCACGAAGTCCCCTGCCCTTCCAAGTAAATAATTGCCTGTACTATTTTGGGGGTTGCTGATCATAAGTGTAGTCTAATATGCCCCAAACCCCATTCTAATTATTAAGGCCCCTATAGCAAGGAGATGCGACTACAGTAGTCACTTTAAATCTTAGACCTAAACGCTGCACCCTAAACCCGAAGCCCTAAAACCTAATGCGCTCTAGACCCGTAAACCCTCTCAACCCGAAGCCCCTAACCTCCTGAGCGCCTTAGCCCCTAAACCCCCAAACCCTGCAATCGCCCCAAACCTGTGGTTCTCTTTTCTTCCGATCTCTGGCATTGTTTCGGCGGCTTGCGCGAGAGTTATAGAAAAGGCAAGTAATATTACTTATAGAGCTATTTAGAGCCCCAGTTCAGGTGCTAATAGCCGTACAGACTAAGTCACATGAATCTCCAAGTACGCCTACAGTGCCCTCATAGAACCCCTTGAAAACCCTTAATAAATCCCCTGAAGAAGTCGCTATCTCCCAGGTTCTGAGCCCTAAGCCCGAAACCCCAAACCCCAAACCCCAAACCCTAAACCCTAAACCCCTCAACTCTAAACACTAATTCCCATGTACCTCCAAGTATGGCATCCGGTTCATCGGGCTGCGGCTTGGCGATTGAAGCTCTCAGGGTTCAGGGCTTTGGGGGTTTAGGCTTTCAGGGATTTTAAGGCTGGGGGTTTTCGGGTTGAGGGTGTCGGGGCCTAGGTTTTTGGATGGTTTAGGGTTTAGGGTTTAGGGTTTAGGGTTTAGGGGAATCTCTACCTCTTGGGGCTTTCGGGTTTCGATTATAGTGCTGTTTGTGCAGCCACAAGGTCCCCCCGCGTGGATGTGCCTATACCGTTTCTGTAGAGTGCTAGTGCAGACTGTGGTTCACAAGTTTTAGGCGCCCTACACAGCAAGTTTTGGCAGGCGCAGGTGCACGCGATACCCGACAGCCAATACCCTAAACTAAACCCTGCACCCCGGACTCCAAAACTTGCCCTAAACCCTAAACCCTAAACCCTAAACCCTGAAACCCTTCAGCCTTCAACCCTTAACCTCTCAAGCCCGAAACCCTGAAAGCCTCCAAGTTAAGACTCCGACCCTAAACTTTCTGGATCCCTTCAAGGAACCCTAGGTACTCCTTAAAGGAACCTTCTCGATCCCTTAAAAGGAACCCTAAATATCCCTTACCCTTAAAGGAACCCTAGGTACTCCTTAAAGGACCCCTCTAGATCCCTTGAAGGAACCCTGGTAGACCCGCGCGACTTCCCGAAGGCCGCTCGGCGAGCGGTGAAGCGAGCGAGGGATTCACCGGCCGTCAAGGACGGCCGTGTTGCTTAAAGGGTAACTAGGGTTTAGGGTTGCTTCTAAGGGTACTATAGGGTTCTATGATTCGACGATAGGGTTCCCGTTTTAGGGTTTAGGGTTTAAGGCCTACTTCAAGAATCATGGGACTGAGTAATTAGGGCTAAACATATTAAAACGATAATTAGGGCTAGACATAATCAAAAACGACATGTGTAGTTACTACTTACACCCCAGGTAAGGTACTTCAAACTGTACGTACTCATTCTCAGAAAGGTCGAAGTAGTGTTTAGGGTTCCAAGGGGAAGTAGTATTTCGAGTTTAGGGTCCATCGGTTGAGCGGTTTAGGGTTTAGATCACGGGACTAAGACTTTGTGGTTATACGCGAAGTAGCTACATTGGTATTTCATAACTACCCTATGCTTTCCAGGACCTTATAGCTAGGGCCCTAGACCCCTCAAGGACCCAACGCTAAGGTACCTGGAAGCATAGTACATAAGGTTATAAACCCTAAACCCTATACCATCAACCCTAAACCCTAAACCCTAAACCCTGAACCCTGAACCATAAACTGTTTGGGGTGTTTGTGTTGTGTCAGCCTCCAGGCGGCCTTATGTAATGCACGGCCGAAGGTGAGTAAGTGATAGAAAGCTGAAAAACTTGCGGCCAAAACCCTAAACCCTAAACCCTAAACCCTAAACCCCTAAACCCCTAAACCCCTAAACCCCTAAACCGCAAGGCCCAGGGCCTTGATGGGCTCACCCATGTTGAAGAAGGCCTCGCCATCTCAGGTGCTCGAGCTGGTCAGGCACCTTACCTAGTACCTATAAGGGGTTCCTTAAGGGCCCCTTTAAAGGGATCTATAGGGGTTCTATAAGGGTATAGGGTTTAGGGTTTAGAGTACTTGGAGGGTCGGGGGACTTAGTAACTGGTTATTTTAGGGACTTATAAGTACCATAACCCCAATTAGGGTCCCTTTTAAGGTACTTATAAGTCTACTTACTATCTATTTACTAAGTCCCCCGACCCTCCAAGTAACCAGTGGGAGAGTGAAGGAAGCATGCCAGGAGGCTAACCACTGGGGTCGCTATGCTACCGAAGAAGCCTGAAAGGGAGAGGCGCATAGGGCTCACTTCTTTCGGTTATACTTGGAGGTTCATGGGACTTAGTAAGTACAGTTATAACTACCCTAAGTGGGGTTGTAAGTCCACATAGGTGTAGTTACCTTAATTATAACCCTAGTTACTAAGTCCCATGAACCTCTAAGTAAACCCTGAACCCTAAACCCCATAGATCCCTTCAAGGAACCCCTATAGATCCCTTTTTAAAGAGCCCTTTAAGGAACCCTAGTTACTAAGTCCCATGAACCTCTAAGTAGGGTCTGGGCCCACACGAGGAGGCAACTCTACGAGGCCTGGGCCTCTGGATACGCGGATAAGGCTCCCTGGGATACTTAAAGGATCATGGGACTTAGTAACTAGGGTTATAACTAGGGTAACCATACTTATAATTACTTATAACCTGAGTTAGGGTAGTTATAACCTTACTTACTAAGTCCTATGATCCTCTAAGTAGGCCTCCCTGGGATAGGGCCCGCCACGGGGCGGGTCGCTCGGCATTGCCCTGGCACGTCTGCTGCGAGGTGAAATTCATCACCAATTTCGCTGTGATTTAGTTCCTGGACCTAAGGGAGTTTTATGAGCACGTCGGGCTTCATACCTTGGCGCAGTCTGCCCAGGCCCATAATTTCCCGCCGCTGGTGCTTCACCACTGTATCTCTTAGTACCAGCCAGCCTTTCTCCTTGGGGCGTCGCTGGCCTCCCAGCCAACAGCTTTTGCCGACTCTTTTCACTGGCCTCTGGCCGCACCTGTCGCAGCCCCTAAACCCTAAACCCTAACCCTTAACCCTAAACCCTAAACCCTAAACCCTAAACCCTAAACCCTAAACCCTAAACCCTAAACCCTAAACCCTTAACCCTAAACCCTAAACCCTAAACCCTTAACCCTAAACCCTAAACCCTAAACCCTAAACCCTAAACCCTAAACCCTAAACCGGGAGAAAGCACCCTTTGGCCAGTTCCAGGGTTGTTCCCTAAACCTCAAACTCAAGACCTTGAACCCTAAACCCAGACCCCCGGGAGGATCCAAAAAGTAGATCCTTTAATGGGGGTTCCTACAAAGAACCCTTAGTAGTATAGGGCCCCAAATTAGGGGATCTACTTTCTAGATCCTCCCGGGGGTCTGGAAACCTTGAAACCCTAAACCTTAAAAGAAACAATGACCCTAAACTTAACAAAACGAAAGAACCCTAAACCTTAGAAAAGAAACGAACCCTAAACCTTAAATAAAGAAAAGAACCCTAAACCTTAAAACAAGAAAAGAGCCCTAAACCTTTTTAAAAAAGAGCCCTACACCTTTTTTAAAAAAGAGCCCCTAAACCTTAAAACCCTAGGCCCCTAGAACTTCAGAGTTTCATGGGGGGGGGCTTCCAGGTTTAGGGAACCTCTCTGGGCTGTCGAGCTGGGCTACATCCCTAGGTTTGGAGTTTAGGGTTTAGGGTTTGGGGTTTAGGGTTTAGGGTTTAGGGTTTAGGGTTTAGGGTGCAGGGTTTAGGGTTTAGGGTTTAGGGTTAGGGTTTAGGGTTTAGGGGGGGTTTGGGGTTTAGGGTTTTTAGGGTTTGGGGTTTAGGGTTTAGGGTGCAGGTTGGGGATAGTGGTGCAACTTCCAGCACAGAAGGCGCCTCAGACCTTTGAATCTCTAAAGTGTAAACCCTGATATAGGGTGATAAACAATAACCAATACTATTTTTTTTGGGGGGGGGTCCTTATCATAAGTATAGTATAATGGGCCAAAAAAACTCTATTATAAGTATTAAGGCCACCATATTATTCCAAAAAGTTGCTCCATGAGACTTAGCAATGTGTGAGCTAGGGTTACAAATAAGGTAACTGTACTTATACTTTTTTTTTAACCCCAGTCACGATACTTATAACTGTACTCAGCTAAATCCCCTGAACCTCCAAGTAGTTGATATCCCTCAAGCCTCAATCCTAAACCCCACAGCCTAAAGCCTAAACCGCAAGCCCTAAACCCCAAACCCCTAAACCCCAAACCCTAAACCCTAAACTTTACCGTGTCTGGTGGGCTTGACTTAGGGTTGCCGCCGGGCTTGGGGGCGCAGGAGCTGATGACACTGAAAATGGAGGGAGGCGCGCCGAAGATTTCTGGCCCCTCGGGTTTAGGGTTTAAGGTTCAAGGGTTTGAGGGTGTAGGGTTTCAGGGTTTAGGGTAACCCTACACCCTCGAGAACACACTTAAACGCTCATGGGACTTAGGAACTTGCATTAAATATGAGGTCACCATACTTATAATTGCTTATAGCCACAAGTAAAGTACTTATAACTTTACTTACTAAGTCCCATGATCCTGCAAGTACCCGGGTTTGGGGTTCCGTATTATCATGGTTCCCTGCTAGAAGCCCTTTGAAAAGAGTAGGTGATTCCGGGTCCAGGTAAACGCTACCCAGAGACTCCAATATCCCTTAATTAAGGAATATACCTTAAATCATATAAGGGATCCTACTATAATTTAAAGTATATTCCTTAATTAATAGGGATATTGGAGTCTCTGGCTAGACTCCCTAGCCCTGGGACTTTGGAAGTTTGCAGATGCCGTAGATCTCAGGCCCCAGGCCCTAAGTCCGAGGCCCTGAAAGTTTCAAAGGGATCCCGAAGAACCCTAGGCCCTAAACCCCTTATCGAAGTTCTTATAGCAGGAACCCTTAAAAAAACCCTGAACCTCTAGCAAGAACCCTAAAACCCATGGATGTCTAATCGAAGGAACCCCCTACACCTCCATGAACCTACATCGCTTATATGCTATACAATATTGAGTCTTGCGTGTCGGGTTTAGTGTGATGAAGTTGATTATTTGGGAGGCAGGGCGTTCCACCTAGGTTGGGTATAGGGTAATATCATATACCCCAAGACCCTGTTCTGATTACTAAGGCCGTCTTACTGTAGAACCCTTATAGTCTTATAGTATCCCTGCCTAGTCGGGGTGGGACGAGAGGGTGTGGTTGGTCCATGCGGCGCGTGAACACCACAGTGTGCTGTCTGGTGGCAACATGTGGCAGCTCACTTCTTCGAATGCGGGATGGCGCTGCCCAATCGGACTATAGGGCATGTTTGGGCATGCGGGCACAGAGCGTGCTGTCGAGGGGCATCATGTGGCAGCATGGCAGCTCACTTCTTCCGATGCGAGAGGGCGCTGCCTAGTCTGCCTTGGGGTTGGACTAATAGGGCATGTCCAGGGCATGCGGTACGGCAGTGCCGGCCTGCCACGCGGCATGAACATAACATGCTTGGTCCTGCGTGAGGGCGGCATGCTGCAGTACATGGCGCCGGAAGTGCTGCGGGCGCAACCGTCAACGGCAGATTGCTCAACTGTTCGGTGAGCGCAGCAGTTGCGTGTGAGACATCGCGGCAGGGCTGGTCATGACTGCTGGGGCGTGGGCATCATCTTGTGGCAACTGCTCGGCAACGAGTGGCTGCCACAAACATGCTGCACAGATGCCCTTAGCATCCTCTCCGGCATCGAGAGCATAGCGGAGATCCGCGGCACGCGCCCTACAAATCCGCTCTTTGGTCTGGTACCCCCAAACTTAAGCGATGGTCGCAAGAGTTGGTGTAATTTTTCTATTAGCAACAACCCTTGCAAATTAATTAACCCTCTTCTAATTATTAAGGCCCCAAAATTGCACCCTACTGTAGATCCTTTTTAAGCTTTTACGGACACCTTGAAGGAGCCCTATTTTAATCACTAATAGGCACCCGGCACCGTAAGGACACCTTCAGAGGGACAGCCGTAGTTTCAAGTATCACACCAGCCTCACGGAAGCTGAATTTGATAGAAATTGTTAAGGGTTTGGGTCCCAAAAACGTTTTGGGCGAAACGTTTTGGGCGAAACGTTTTGAGCGAAAGGTTTTTTTTGCGAACCATGTTTTCAGATTTCTTGGGGGGCTGCGAAACGTTTTGAACGAAACTTTGGAGCGAGACGTTTTGACCGTCCTGGGGCTGGGGCGGGGGCTGGGGCTGGGCTGGGGTCGAACCATCATAGAAATTGAATCCCCAAAGCTTGTTGACGAAACGTTTTGAGCGAAAGTGTGGGGGGCTGCTGCTGGGGCTGGTGGGGCTGCTGGGACTGGGGCTGCTGGGGGGCTTGCGGGGCCTGGGGGGGCTAGGGGGGGGGGCCCAAAAACGTTTTCAACGAAACGTTTTCAACGAAACGTTTTCACCGAAACTTTTCAAGGGAACGTTTCTTCTTTTGAACTCACACCTTGAGTTTGGGGGGGAGGGGAGGGGGCCAATAGAAATTGACCGAAACGTTTTGGGCGAAACGTTTTGAGCAAAACATTTTGAACGAAGTTTTTTTTTTTTTTGCGAAACATGTTTTCAATTTCGTTGGGGGGCTGCGAAACGTTTCGAACGAAACTTTTGAGCGAGACGTTTTGACTGTCCTGAGGCTGGGGCTTTACGTAGAGTTTTGTTTTTTGGACTTTGATTTGGTGTTGGGCTGTGGCCAGGGCAAACCCCAAATCCCAAATCCAGGCCCAGCCCCAAATCCAGGCCCCAGGCCCCAAATCCAGGCCCCAGACCCCAAACCCCCAAGGCCCCAGACCCCAAATCCAGGCCCCAAACCCCAAATCAGGCCCCAGACCCCAAATCCAGGCCCCAGACCCCCAAATCCAGGCCCCAAACCCAAATCCAGGCCCCAAATCCAGGCCCCAGACCCCAAATCCAGACCCCAAACCTGGGTCTGGGGCCTGGATCGGGCTGGCTGGGCTGGCTGGGCTGGCTAAACTGGCTGGGCTGAGTTAGAGGTTGAGGTCGTGGTTGTGCGAAATTGGTTTATCAAGAAGCTTGTTCAGTTTTTGACCGGGTGGCTGTTTTGAGTTGGCTGGGCTAAAATAATTTTGAGGTTGTGGTGGCTGTTTTGAGTTGGCTGGGCTGAGTTAATGGTTGAGGCTGTGGTTGTGCGAAATTGGATTATCAAGAAGCTAACGCCAGTTTTAACCGAAATGCTGGGCCCTAGCGGTGGTTACAAACAAGGACAAGCAATTTCTATTTATCACTTTCTTGAGGGTTTAGGGTTTAGGGGTTTCGGGTTTTAGAGGTTTAGGGGTTTTAGGGGTTTAGGGTATAGGGGTTTTGGGTTTTAGGGGTTTTGGGTTCAGGGTTTACCTAAAGGTTCATTGGACTTAGCAACTAGGGTTATAATTTGGGTAACTACACTTATATGTATTTATAATCCCAATTAGGGTACTCATAACTGTACTTACTAAGTCCCATGAACCTCCAAGTAGGGTGTAGCGGTTTGGGTTTTACGAGTTTTGGGTTCAGAGTTTAAGGGTATTAGATTGAACCCGCAAACCCGAAAACTTTGAACCCTAAACCCTAAAACGAAACCCTGAACCTGAACCCTAAGCCCGCAAATCAAGCCCTAAATCCTAAAGGTTTGAACCCAAACCCTAAGCGTTGAGCAACTGACAGGAATGGGCCTCACCAAGAAGCAAATGCAGGCCGAGATGAACCGAATGGAGGCACGTCTTCTTGGGCCTCGGGTGCTGAGGGTTTAGGGAAGAAGGTTTTGGGTTTAGGGTTTAAGGTTTAAGCTTCCTTTCACGGTTCATTTACGGGTCCTTTTAAGGCTACGCCCTAGGGCCCCTCTACCGTTTAGGGTGACCTTGAACCTTTTTGGGGTGCTATAGTATAGCCCTATATCGTCCCAGAGGTCGCCCATGAGTTTCCCAGAGACTCCAATATCCTTTAATTAAGGAACATACTGTAAATCATACTTGGCACTTTACAAAATTGCAGGTATATTCCTTAATTAACGGTTTTTGGAGTCTCTGGGTCCTGTAGGGTACTGGACAAGTATACCCTTTACTGACAACGGGTCGTATTTAGATCCAAATAGAAGAGCCCCTCTGTGTGTTTCATGTAAATCTCCGGACACCCTAGACCCCAAACCCGAAAGTACCCTTTATGGTAGCCTTAAAGGAACCCTTGAAGGAATCTTCAGCCCTTCAACGGTGGAAAACGCTTGCGCGATACTTGGAGCATCAGGAGACTTAGTAAGTATAGTTATAACAACCTTGATTGGGGTTATAAGTAATTATAAGTATGGTTACCTTGTTCGTAAGTCGAGATACTAAGCCCTATGATCCTATAAGTAGTTGTTGTCCTTGTCCTTGCTGCCATGTTCGTTTTTTCTTTCGAGCCCGGCTCCTTTCCCATGGTTTAGGGTTTAGGGATTGGAGCTTGGGTTTAAAGCCTTGGGTTTAGGTAGGGTTTAGGGTTTAGGACAAGAGCCCTTTGTTACAATTTACGACATGTCGGTTGGCGTTTCCCAATCAAGGCCGTCCGGCTTCATTACATCTCCGCCGAATCCTACAGTCGTCGCCGAATCCGACACCGGCAGCAGGACACATTGCATTCCAAAGCCACACTTCCCAACAGTTTTAAGCCCTGAAGATGGATCAGATGTCGGAAGCCCTTACGAACACTCACTTTGCAGAGAAATGCTCGGACCGCAGTAAACCGACATCCCTTGCCTTGGCCGGGTACCATACTGGTGATTTTCATCTACCGAACTCTCTAAAAACCCCTAAACCCTAAACCCTAAACCCTAAACCCCTAAACCTTAAACCCCTAAACCCTAAACCCTAAACCCCTAAACCCTAAACCCTAAACCCCTAAACCCTAAACCCTAACCGTATAAAATCCTTTTTGACACCCCGGTGCAGCCATGGATCCCCAAACACGACCACGCGGACCACGACGATCAAGAACCCCCTACTTGGAGGGTCGGGGGACTTAGTAAATAGATAGTAAGTAGACTTATAAGTACCTTAAAAGGGACCCTAATTGGGGTTATGGTACTTATAAGTCCCTAAAATAACCAGTTACTAAGTCCCCCGACCCTCCAAGTAGTTCAAGCTTTATAGAATCAAGAGCCCAGAGACTCCAATATCCCTAAAGAAGGAATATTCCTCCTTACATACTAGGGATTCTACTATAACTTGCGGTTAGTGGATATAGGAGTCTTAGGGAGCCCTGATGAAACTCTGGTCGAACATCCCCAATTCCGTTATGAAAACCGCATACCTGTTCTCCCTCGTTCGCGCGACAGCAGGCAGTCGACAATTACGCCGCCATCATCTTCAGGGACATCATTCCGAAGCTTCAGGACCGATGGGCTGCTACGGTTGATGATCAAAATCCTACATTACCCATAATAAGGAATATACCATAATTCCCATAGTTTAGGGTTCTTAAGGTAATGCAGGATTTATATCATCGACAGTAGGGTTGTAGGGTTTCCGGTTTAGGGTGTGGTGTGTGTGTGTGTGTGTATGTGCGCGTATTTCTGTGTGTGTGGGGGGGGAGAGAAAGACTGTGCTCTTTGGCTTGGAGACAATTCTATGCAAGGGCATGGGGTTGGTTTTGGTCCTTTGGTGTTTAAAGTTTAGGTTTGATGTGTTTTAGGGTTTATGTAGGGTGGGCTCCTCCTGCCGCTGCGACTTTTGCTCCCACTGACAGTTTGGGATGTTCGTACATACTACTATCAGCAGTAGTGCGTCCTAAAGAACAGTAGCAGTAGCAAGCTGCCGTGTGAATGGATTTCCATACTGTAAATGCTACATGAACTGCCAGCCTTGGGCTTGACCCTAAGCTCCACACCCTAAACCCTAAATTGTTCCGTAGTCGAGTGTTGAAGTGGGGTTGTGGCTTGCCGCACATGCACGAGAAAGGCAGGGCCAGGTGCGTCTGCTTGCATTGTGTTTTCTTCGATGTTTTCAACCCAAACCGGATAGCCCCAACAAGTCCTGAACCCCAAACTCTACATCTCTACATCTCTTTCGAACGCAATGTCACTAACTTGTACTACGGTTGATGATATAAATCCTGCATTACCCAGAATAAGGACTATACCATAATTCCGATAGTTTAGGGTCCTTAAGGTAACGCAGGATTTATATCATCAACCGTACATCCCCATCAAAATCTCCAGACCCAAGCTGCACGTCACAAAAACCCGAAGCACTAAGCCCCACCTGCCGCAACTTTCTCAGGAGAACCCCATGGCAGATACGCTCGGCTACCTCAGCGCAACGTTTCTTCTGCTGCTCGCCGCTGGCCCGGAATCGTTGGGGCGTTTAAGGCTCTTGACTAGGTTTTTAGGTTTGATGTCCTAGGCTCCGAGCTGGAGTGATTCTTGGGTGCTCCGTTTGTAGTACAGATACATCAGATCAGTACAATGCCCACTGATGGTACTGCTGCGACATGTTGTGGGTTCGTTGATAATAGTGTCATGGTTTCTTGATTCTCAATGCTCCGGTGATGACGATGTTGTGGTGCTGATGACGGAGAGGACGCCGATGATGATGATGATGATGATGATGACGATGATGACGAGGACGACAGCAGCGACGACTATGACGCTAGCCATAAAGATGACGACGGAGACAATGACGATGGCGATGTCGACACGATGATGACAACGATGAAGACTACGATGACTGCAGCGATGACGATGGACACGACGGTGACGGCGACGAGTATCATAGTGGTGATGGTGGTGGTGATAGTGGTGATGGTAATGACGGTGCTGTGCAGAAAATAGGGACCGTATATAGGACTTCAACCAGTAGGATCCTGGTACAGAACCCCTAAGTGCTGTACTCCCAACTCAACGAACCCCCCCGCCCCCCCCCCCTTCCTGAAACCCGAAATATAGTGCCCTTATAACAATCTTACAGAAACCTCAAAGGAACCCTTACCCAAACCCCCGGGAGGATCTAGAAAGTAGATCCCCTCTACTACTACTTGGAGGGTCGGGGGACTTAGTAACTGGTTATTTTAGGGACCTATAAGTACCATAACCCCAATTAGGGTCCCTTTTAGGGTACTTATAAGTCTACTTACTATCTATTTACTAAGTCCCCCGACCCTCCAAGTAAGGGTACTTTATAGGACCCCCCATTAAGGGATCTACCCTAAACCCTAAACCCTAAAACCCTATAGATCCCTTAAAGGGACCCTTAAAGGAACCCCTAAAGGAGCCCCCATTAAAGGCTCCCGGGGTTCTGGGCAAAGGATCCCCACAAGCCCTTCGAACTTCCCCAGGTTCTCATCGCTTTTGGCTTCTGCTTGGTGCCACCGGTGGTGAACCCGGATGAGTGAGGCCTGGTTTAGGGGTATTTAGGGCAGTTTAGGGTTTATGATGGATCGTAAGAAGCCCTTTGAGGGCTTACTATAAGATAAGGGATCTATAGGGATCTTAAGAGGCGGGTTTAGGGTTTAGGGGTTGAGGGGTTTAGTATTTAGGGGTATTTAGGGTTTAGGGGTGTTGCGGTGTTAATGGAACCTCTGAGGGAATCCGATAAGAAACCCTGAAAGAAACCGAGCCCTTAAGGATACCCTGAAACGGTACTATAGGCCTATAACCCGGATGAGCGGGTGCCCTGAACATTCCTTTAAGGGTACGATAGGATTTTAACCCAGAGAGAGATCAATTGCGAGACCCGCTGAGTTTCTAAGTCGTAGGAGGGTTAATGATCGTTTGAGCATGCCTTTAAGGCTTTTGGATGCGTTTTGGGTGTAGGATTTGCGCGGTTTAGGGTAATATGAGTTCTGTATCTGGGGATCCATGGTGGGATCCCTGTATTAAGGATCCGGCTGTTTAAGGTTCCACATGAGCTACTAAACCTGAGTAATATAGGAGCCTGACTCATTACCAACACTATTTTGGGGGATGATCATAGTATCATATCTCTCCCCAGCCTTAGTCTAATTATTAGGCCCCACATTGACTATGCTGGCATCAGGGGGCCTCTCCTGAGATTCGATTTGTCAAGGGTCCCAGCAGGTTTACCAACATGGGTTGTTTGGACTCGGTTTGGCTGGCATTTCTAGTTTTGGGTTCAGGGGAAGAGCGGTTTCAGAAAGCTTGTTTCCGATGTTTTCAAGTTCAGGGATGAGCATCTCCCGAAACTGAACGCGATTTCACATAGATGTTGTCTTGGAGAGCCCAGGAAGAAAAGAAGAAAGACAGCCGCGTCGCATGGTGGAATCGTGCAAATCCTGCGCGCGTGGGCCACGATTTCAGGCATGCTCGGAGTCAGCGCCAGGCGCAGCCCTTTTTTGCTGAACCGATGGCTTGAGCTGCCGACCCCTCCCTAGAGTCCCCCCATGCCAAACAAGGATGCCTTGTCATAGTCGGGTAACATTTTACATGTTTATGGGTACTTAAACCCAATAAGGAATAAAAATGTACATTTTTAAACCTATCCCAACCATGGACTAGGATGCACAAAAGAAGCAAGCACCAAAGCCCACAAGATGCACAACAAGAAGCGTGGTGTAAGTATGCGAGCCATGCGTGCAAGAAGCATCCAGCCAAAAAATCGTCGTTCAATCAGAACTCAGGTGAGTTTTGTCATGCTGATCCAAAGAAAAGAAAAACAACCGCGAAGCGTGTCATTCTGGAGTAGTACAAATCCTGCGCCCAGGCTGCGTTTTCTGGCATGTAGGCACACGAAGGAAAAAGCACAAGCTGAAAAAGATGGCCGGACATGGACGTCATACCTCAGTCGCTGCCCCCACCCTGTAATAGTGACTATAAGGATTACATTGGGGCCCTATTGTACTCCTATTATACCACTATTACAGGGTGGGGGCCCCTTCTAAGTCATACCCCACCCCCCCTTTTCCCCCATCCCGGGCCCCCCACAAAAGCCATAGAGGCAACCCTTAAAAAACGGAGCCCGGAAACAACGCAGAAATCCTCTGCGCGTTCCTCCGCCGTCTGAGTGGGGGAAGCAAAACAGACACATCGAGCAATCATTTTCAGGCAAGTGTAAAGTCTGCCGAATCCGTCGCGCAGGCCACGTTTTGGTGCAAGCCATACATGGGTGGTTGTCAAAATTGGGGTCCATTTTTGTGTCCTTTCATAATTCGGCACCTAATATTTGGGGTAATTACCCAAAAAGGGACCTTAATTTTGACAGCCACTCACATGAATCTTCAACGGCGTGGCCCCAGATGTCGCCCCGAAGACTATGTAAAATCGTCCCTGTTCCCGAACCCGCTTGCAGGGTGACAAGAGCCTCGAGTCATGCCTTAGTAGCTGAGTAGGTAAGCTTTACTCTTTTGGGGCTCGTGTCATCCTGCATGATTGACAAGGTTAACGTTATCCTTTTTTGGGCTAGGGTACTCAGCGCCTAAGATGCCAAGCGTGTCTGTGAGTTTATGGGTTCGCGGGTTCAGGATTCAAGGTTCAGGTTTAGGGTTTGGGTGCACATCATCGTGGACCTTGCTACAATATACCCTAAACCCTAAACCCTGAGCTCTAGCCCTTGCTCCCGGAAAGCAGGTGGATCCTCTCCGACGGGTTTGAAGGTCTTCTGCAGACTGACTGCAACGTTCCAGATCTGTTTTACCCCTGCTTGAAGGTTCGCGGGTATTTGTAAGTAGGATGACAAATGAGATAGCTGATTACATATGCAACCGATCAATAGCCAAAGCATCTGCTTGAAACCTGCTTATAACTGGCCCTGAATCTTCAAGTAGTAGACGTTACGCTGCTAAAGCGATCCTTTCTATCTGCTCACGCTGCACGGAGGAGCCTATCAGTGGCCCTGTTCGTCCAATCCCGTCAGAGAGTCTATCTTCACTTCATCCTACCTCAAAGCAGCCAAAGGGGCAAGGCCACTGTGAAGCTTATATCGTGGAGTAAAAGCACACAGGCTGCTTGGCATCAGGGAGCTGCAGTTTCAGTCCGACGGAATGCATGCTGCATCCTCACCCTTATCCCATAGCCCCTAGCTCCTACTGATCTGGAGCAGCCTAGTCTCCGCCATTCGGTGCGCGCATGCGTAGTTCGCAAAAAGGCGTCTGCCCATGTTGACGTGTGTTTCCCAAACCATTAACACCGACCAGTCCACAAGTTTGGGTTTGTGAGAAGCCTTCCAAGCGAATTTACGTAGCTGCCTGCGTCAAGTAGCATCTCATGGGTTCTGTGGCTTAAGGGTTCAGGGCTTAGGATTTCTGGTGCAGGAGGAGTCAATCACTATCGAATTCAAACTCTGTTGGCATGTCTTGTACACCCAAAGTCAGAAGTCTTTCATGGTCTCTGCTGCAGCTGCCAGCTGTCAAGGCCAGGAAGCAACACAGGCTTGTTGAACGAGCCCTTCATGTTTTGAATAGTTGAATCATTAAACTTGTTTGTGGAGGTGATTTAACTGAATATCGTTCTATCACTGTGTTAGAACGAGACGCTAACAGAATCAGAGAGGTCTACTCGCCCTACTTGTAACAGATCTTGGCCATCAGATGCCAAACATACATTTCCGCAGCTATGATCTAATTCCTAAATTGCAAGGAACCTAAATCTCAAAGTTCTTAAGGCCGCAAAGCCCAAACTCCAACCCCTCAAACCCCCAAACCGTAACTTCCTGCAGCCTTATCCATAAGGAACCCTTAAAGGAACCCAGTAGGAAAGCCTTAAAGGCCTCAAGCATGAAAGGCACCCTTCAACAGGGGCCTTAAAAGGGCCCTTCCTTAACAGGGGCCCGTAAAGGCCCCTCTAAAGGAACCGTTTGAGGCGCCCGTTAAAGAAACCCGTAGAAGAACCCTTTAAAGGAACCCTTAAACGGAACCTTTAAACGCACCCTTTAAGAGGGGCCCATGGTTGTTTTTCCGGTTCCACCGGAAGTCGAGCCTGCCGTCGGCGAGACGGACCTGGCTGTCCTGGAAGCGGAGCGGGAGCTGACGCAGTACTTCCAGTCTCTCTGCTTGCAGGGTTTGGGGTTTAGGGGTTTAGGGTTCAAGAGTTTAGGGTTTAGGGTTTAGGGGTTTAGGGTTGAGGGTCCTTCCAGTCTCTCTGCTTTCTTTCTTAGGGTTTAGGGTTTAGGGGTTTAGGGTACTTCCAGTCTCTCTGCTTTCTTTGTTTTTTGTTTGATTATGTGCATGGTCTTCATGATTTTAAGGATCTTCTTTTGTACTTCCAGTCGCTGTGCTTTCTTTATTTCTTTTTAGGGTTTAAGCTTAGGGTTTAGAGCTTAGGGTTTAGGGTTTGAGGGTTTGTAAGTTGTGTGTATGGTTTTCATGGTGTTAAAGGGTCTTTCTTGTGTGCGCGCGTGTGTGTCAAAAGGGGTTTACGGGGTACCGGGCAGTGTCCTTCTTTTTGTCAAAGCTTCTTTTTGGCTTTATGGGGTTGTGTCGCGTTTATGAAAAGCACCCGCAACTTGCAGACACTGTCCAGTTTATATAGCTTCTTGGTTTATTTACAAGGGCTGTGTCAGGTGTTTAGAGTTTAGAGGGTCATATGAGGGCAACTGGGCCCATCAACAGTTAAATAGGTCTTATGGGGTAGTATGGGGTTGCATGGGGTTGTCATGCCAGCGCTGTCCTTTCCAGTTCCTTATGTCATACGGGTGTCATAGGACTTTACAGGGTCCAGCTTGTGCCTGTGTCAGACGCCAAATACTTCCGAACACTGCGAGGATCTTACAAGGTTTGTAAGCAGGGTCTTAGGGCTTTACTGGGTTCTCCCATACTGACGGATATTCCCGCTGTCCTTTTTTGCGGGTTTGCTACTTTTGTTTGTTTAGAGGGGCTTTTGGACAGAGGTTTCCGATTTCTGTGACTTCTCCCATGCCCAGCTTCTGGGATCTTCCCGGATCTAATAGCATAGTATTGCAATCAAAACTGTGACTGCTTGTGGGAAGCAGTGTCCCAACCAAACACCGGCCCTAATGCCCTAAAGCCCTAAAGCCCCAAAACTCTGAAACGCGGAGCCCTCCTCATGCTCTTCTCTATTTGGATCATGAGACTTAGTAACTACAGTTATAAGTATCCCGAACTGGGCTTACAGTTAATTACAAGTACAGTTGCCTTTGTTACAGCCCTTGTCACTATGTCCCATGAACCTTGTAGCAACATATGGGAGTTTCCGAAAAAAATAGGGGACCCTAATATAGTACCCTAAATAGTAGGGTCCTCATTATAAGGGCCCCCAATAAGCTACCCCTTGTTTTCGGAAACCCTAACCCCTAATAGAGCCCTTTAAGGAACCCTTATAATACCCCTTTAAGGGCACCCCTAATTTTCACCTGAGGACAACGGCACTGCAGAATTCTCTACGCTACTTGGCGCCTGCACACTCGAACAGCCCTCTGAAA